ATATCGTACTGTGAGGTTCATACCGTGACGAGACTTGGATATCGTTACACACTTACTGAGTAATCTAGAGATCTGTCCTGGGCCCTGTTACAGTTACCTGTGTGATTCTGTCCAACGCTACGTCATTCATGCTTCCACACGACAATTCTCCATAAATATACAAAAACATGATACAAAACTGCACACAACTACCTGACAAACCTGATGCGACGTGCAGGAGTTTCATTAGATTGAGGCAAATTGTGTCGCGTTCTGAAGGGGGAGTGATTTAACGCAGGGAGCGAAGGGAAGGGAGGTTACTCTGAACATCAGAAAGCGAAAATGGTAAAACATGTTCATGCTTTCGATTATATTATTTTCAAAACACTAAAACGTAAAGTAACATAAACGTAATCTGCTCTGTGTTAAAGTAAGGGCTCGGGTCTCTGGTCGCTCTCTGAAAACCTGGCAGTCCGGTGTAGAGCTGTGTGTTTGGCCCCCGGGGGTCAGGGCGAGGGGCAGGGGGTGAGGTGGGTGGATGAGTGGGCGGGCGGGGGTGCGATTCCTCTGCCGTGACGCATGTTTACTGCAGGAAACACTCCGAGAGCTCAGCACAGGCCTGGGCTCTGAGATAATGTGAACCTCCACCCAATGACGGACAGTCCCAGGGGCCAGTGTGAAGCAAGCGGCAGGCCAATAAGTCCCGCCCTCCTCACAGCACACACACGCACACACACACCAGCTGATTACAGGAAATACAATTATGGCTTGGGTGAGGTGTCTTTAGTAATGAACAACAACCTGATGTTATCATTTGAATGTTAAAGGGACAATATTATGCTGTTTTCTGATTAATGTTCTAATGTTTCCTCCTCACAAACAGACCTGGAGTTGTGTTTTGTTTCACTCACGCATGTTAAACTTCAAAACTGTAATGTGTTATTTATGACTTGTTACTGTCATTTCAAACTCATTTGTGACATTACAATATTACTGCATTTAAAATGTAAAACATTACATGACTATTACAGCGCTTTAAGTTACTCTCACCAAAATAATTGCGAAGATGCTGAACTTTTGTGCCGTATATGGACTGAACCAGGACTAAACTTGGACTAAAACAGAACTGAACCAGGACTAAACCAGGACTAAACCAGGATTAAACCAGGACTGAACCAGGACTGAACCAGGACTAAACCAGGACTAAACCAGGACTAAACCAGGTCTAAACCAGGACTAAACCAGGAGTGAACCAGGTCTAAACCAAAACTGAATCAGAGCTGAACCCAGACTGAACCAGGACTAAACCAGGACTAAAACAGAACTGAACCAGGACTAAACCAGGACTAAACCAGGACTAAACCAGAACTAAACCAGGACTGAACCAGGTCTAAACCAGGACTAAACTAGGACTAAACCAGGCCTAAACCAGGACTGAACCAGGACTAAACCAAAACTGAATCAGAGCTGAACCAGGACTGAACCAGGTCTAAACCAGGACTAAACTAGGACTAAACCAGGACTGAACCAGGACTAAACCAGGACTGAACCAAGACTGAACCAGGACTGAACCAGGACTAAACCAGGTCTAAACCAAAACTAAACCAGGTCTAAGGCACGATCGGGCGTCAGTTGTGATTAGCCCTGTGGAGCGTGGGAGTTCTGCACTGGTCCTTTCGCCCGCGGTCACCTGAGGTTTCCCGGCGTTTCACTGCTGCTGATATCGCGGTGATTTTAGCAAATTTGCATGAAAAAAAAACGAAAAACCCACCACTTCAATCCAGGTTAAAAAAGCATTGTAACACATGTTACTGACATTTGTACCAAGTAAAATATTACATTTTTTCTCCTGTAATGCCGAACATGACTGCGTTACAGCAAAAAGCAACACATTACAGTAGTTTGTTACTTTTATAACACGTTACTCCCAACACTGTTTAACACACAAACCCTGCACATTTAAGCTGAGTCAAAACTCCACACACCGTCACTAGAATCATTTGGATGATTTCAGCTCTGGAAATGGCCAACTGTGAACTTAAAAACTACCTCTTCATGACATCACAAGCTGGAACAGATCATTTGGAGCTTTGGAGATGTAGACAGACTAATAATAAAGGGTTACTCAAACAAAACACAAGTCCAGGTGTGTTTTTGAGGAGGTAACAGTATTATAACTTGGCTTCATAGTGCTTTTTTTTCTATTTCCATGTGGTTTTATATGTGTGTAATACTTCAGTGGTCCAGGTACACTGAAAAAAATCACTTCTTTGAGTAGTAAAATATATTAAATCTGCTGTGGTAATTTTTACACTGAAATAATTCTGTGAGAACTACAACTTATTTAACAGCAATGGACAAAATGTACTTATTTGACTGTAGTTGCAGTATTGTGTTTATTGAGTAAGTTCACCAACACAACAAGGTTTTACAGTCGCTCCTCACAAACCCACAAACACCAAGTCATACCACAGTCCTTCTAGATAAAGAAAAGTTATGTATTTGAGGCTGGGGCGACAGGAGCTCTACTGGTTAAGCATTTGCCCACTGATCTGAAGGTTAGCAGTTTGAATCCCACTTTTGATATTAAACATCATTGGTTGAGCATCAGCTCCACTGACCCACAGGCTGGTGGTGCGAATCTTGCTCCCACAGATGAATGCTGTTGTTGTGTCCTTGGGTAAGACACTTAACTCACCTCGCCCCTAGTGTGTGTGTACACTGGTGTGTGTGTGTGTGTGTGTTTGTGTGTTTGTGTGTGTGTGGTTCCTTGATGTAAAGCGCTTCAAGCCTTGAAGGTGGAAAAGTGCGATACAAACATGATCATTTCATTTACCATTTATTCTACATCAGTAAATACAAGACATATAATATTTACTTCATTACTTCATCGCAATACAATTAAATATGACAACATTTTAAATATTTTATTTTATTTATTTACATAAATATGACTTCTAACTTAAAAAAGAGTAACAATTAGTAACAACAATCAGTAAACTCATGACAGTTAATGGTGTTAAGTGCATTTTACTTAATACTGACAAGTAAATTGTGCCTGATATTACAACAGTAACATTATTAAAGTGCAAGTGCAAATTGTTATGAGGATTTTTTCTAGTAAATCTTCCAAGTTCTTTTTTTCAGTTTCCATAGTGGTCCATGGGTGTATACTAGTCTATGTGCTCTTATACTTGTTCTGATACAACTCAACATCATTCTAAACTAAACTAAAAGAGCTAAACTGTTCAGGAAAGGTTCATTTCTGTGCTGTGACTGTGACTTTTTTTAGTATTGATATGAAACCAATGAGTAGGTTTGGTCCCAGTCAAAGGGAACAGTCCGTAATTTTGGACATATTGCCTCATTTCCTAGTGAGCCAGAGTGTTGGAGACGTATGGAGACACTTTTTAAAATCATTCCATCCAGTCCTTGTATTTGCAGAGGTCACTGGTGCTAGACTAGTGCATGTCAATGGCCATAGTTCTCCTGCCACTAAAAACAGTCTTACCCACTCCACAAAACACCTGAAACAAATCTATTATTACACCAGACTGATTGATTGATAGCATTTATATAGAGCCTTTCAAAATACCCAAAGTGCTTTACAGTTCATTATTCAGTCACTCCACACTCAGTGGTGGTAAACTACTACTGTAGCCACAGCTGCCCTGGGGCAGACTGATGGAAGCGAGGCTGCCAATCTGCGCCATCAGCCCCTCCGACCAACACCTCCACTCATGCTCACACCACTTTCATACTAGGCAATGTGGGTGAAGTGTCTTGCCTAAGGACACAACGACAGTTTTTGCCACTGGCGCCCCACTGGGGCACCTGGAATTCCTAGCGGTCTCCCATCCAAGTACTACCCAGGCCCAGCCTGCTGAGCTTCTGAGATCTGACGGGATCAGGCTTTTAAAAGCTGTTATGTTTGAAATAAAACTAACATTGTATCGCATGAATCGTCACATGTTGAGGGACTATTTTCTCATATGTCAGTCCGCCGCTGCCGAGCTTTCTATCAGGAAGTACAACTAAATCCTTCAAATGCAAGGTTGGTTTTACTTCTAAAATTATTCTATCAACACAGACATTCACATGGACAGTCTGGTGTAATAATAGATTTGTTTCAGGTGTTTTGTGGAGTGGGTAAGACTGTTTTTAGTGGCAGGAGAACTATGGCCATTGACATGCACTAGCCTAGCACCAGTGACCTCTGCAAATACAAGGACTGGATGGAAGATTTCAAAAAGTGTCTCCACACGTCTCCAACACTCTGGCTCACTAGGAAATGAGGCCTTATGTCCAAAATTACGGACTGTTCCTTTACAACCTGACTTAGCTCTAGTTTGGACCTGGTTTAGTTCTGATATAGTCCAAGCCAAGACTTAGTTTAGATCTCGGTTTCAGTTTAGACCTGGTTTAATTCTAGCACAGTTTTCAAATTTTTGGTCTATCCTTTGAAAATATCATCGTCTTCTTAACCACTTTAAAGGTGCACTATGTAACTTTTTGGTCAGAGGGATCCGTCACCTGCTTGTTTCTATGGAGACGTTATTGCTCTGGAATGTTGCCTGGAATGTTCCACAGTATGACATTAAACAGCTCTACTTTACATTTATTCAATTCAAAAATGCCTCAAAAAACAGGCTTTCTGACTGTGAGCGGGGTCGCCTCTCCACAGATCTGACCTGTCACTTGGTCTGGTTTGGTCTCCGTGAAGATAGAAAGGTTTAATGTCACACTGTGAAACATTCCAGACAAAACGAAAACATCTCCACGGAGAAAAGCGTTCGACGGAGACTCCACCGGAAAAGTTACGCAACGCACCTCCGACTTGAAATCATAAATCAGACAGTTAATTCTTCTTACGTGAGTAGCGGTTTCCCAAAATCCTTTTCACTCATGCCGGTGTCATTTCTTGGACCGCTGCTTTGCGCTTGGACTTGAGTGATGTCACGGTGAAGTAACTCTCAGTGTGTTTCTCCTCCGCTGACCCTGGTTTGTTCTGTGGCCTGCAGGACCAGAACGACGTCATCGACAAGCACACGCAGTCGGGGCTGGACCTGGTGGAGAGATACGTCAAGTTTGTGAAGGAGAGGAGCGAGATCGAGCAGAACTATGCCAAACAACTCAGGTACATAATCATCCACGGGTGTCAGAGATTATAAATATGGAGTTTTCTAGGGTAGGATGACCGGGATTTTAAAATCAAAAACTGGGACACTCTTGGTTAGGGGTGATGGTAATAATAAAATTGTGAAACAAGTTTGTAATTAAGGAAAACTGTGACTAACGTGTGAGTCAGTATAGGCACATTTTCTTTGTGTTGTGGTCATTTTTAAGCAGCTTTTCTGTATTTTACCTAAACAAATGACAGATTATGCTTAGTCCTGTTTTACACATGGTTTAGATCTGTTTTAGTCCTGGTTTAGTCCTTTTTCAGTCCTGGTTCAGTTCTGGTTTAGTCCTGCTTTAGACATGGCTTAGTCCTGCTTGCAACAAAACAATACCCATCACTTGTAGCTAGAATGTGATGCAAAAATGCTATTAGGCCGACCTACTGTCTGTAAATATGACACAAAGAGCCAGAACAATAAATGTTGCCTAAATAAACCCAATTTAAAATCCACCAGAGCCAAACCTAAGTTTTTTAAACAATTGAAGATTTACAGTGAATTTTTACATCACTACATAGATGACAGATGACATGGCCCTGACCTGTGGGGTGCCTCAGGGGTCAATCCTGGGCCCCCTGTTGTTCAATCTCTACATGCTGCCATTAGGCCAGTTAATAAGCAGCAATAACGTGTCCTACCACAATTATGCAGATGACACTCAGATCTATGTCTCTCTGGCAGCAGGAGACTATGGACCAGTGGACTCACTTGGTCACTGCATCCAACAGATCAGTGTGTGGATGCAAAACAACTTTCTCCAGCTAAACTCTGACAAGACTGAAGTCATAGTGTTTGGTCCACAGAAACAAAGGGACAGTGTCAGCAGTCACCTCCAGTCTCTCTCTCTAAAACCTTTAAATCAGGCAAGAAATCTAGGGGTAATAATGGACTCAGACTTGAACTTTAACAGTCACATCAAATCAATAACATCTGCAGCCTTTTACCATCTAAAAACATAGCAAAAATCAAAGGTTTACTGTCTAAATCAGACTTGGAGAAACTTATCCATGCGTTTGTCTCCAGTAGGTTAGACTACTGTAATGGTCTGCTCACTGCTCTCTCCAAACGAGCTGTGAGACGCTGCAGAACATCCAGAATTCTGCAGCTCGGGTCCTTACTTGAACTAGGAAGTACGAGCACATGCGTCCTGTGCTCAGGTCTCTGCACTGGCTTCCTGTGCCTCAGAGAATAGACTTTAAAGCAGCTCTGCTTGTGTACAAGTCTCTCCATGTCTGAGCACCAAAGTACATCTGTGACATGTTAGTGTCATATGAACCATCTCGCACTCTGAAGACCTCAGGGACCGGCCTCCTGCTGGTGCCCAGAGTCACGACTAAACAAGGGGAGTCAGCGTTTCAGGTTCATGCAGCTAAAACCTGGAACAGTCTGAACATGTGAGACAGACTCTTCTGTGACGCTGTTTAAATCCAGACTCAAAACATTTCTGTTTAACTGTGCATATAACTGAAAGGTTTTCATTCCGCACTCTTCTCTCCAATTTATGTCTCTCTTTTTTTAATTTTAATCTTCATGATTATTTATGTTTTGATTTGTTTTTATTATGATTTTAATGTATTTCTTATTCTGTAAAGCACTTTGAATTACTTTGTGTACGAATTGTGCTGTACAAATAAACTTGCCTTGCCTTGCCTTACATATATCAGTGATTATATCGGCAGCTCCAGCTCCCATTTTATCGGTATCATATTGGCCACAACAAAATCCATATCGGTCGGGCCCTAAAAATAGGGACACCTGGGACATTTCTTGTATAAAACTGGAACAAATCACTGGTTTTGTATAAATCTGCTGGGACAAGGGACACAGGCTCAAAACTGGGACTGTCCTGGGTAAATAGGAACGTCTGGTCACTCTGTTCTAGACTCCGACCAATGTGTTTTGTTTTTTTTAGGGCTGGGCCAAAATAAAAAATATTAATCGCGATTAATCGCACTCGAACTCATGTGATTAATCGCGATTAATGTGAATGTAATGTGAAAAAAGTGAAAAAAGTGTAAAGAAAAGACATCAAACTTAAAGAAACACTCGCAGTGGACTTTTTCAAAATAAAAGCCAGTGAGTAACAGACGTTTACAGTCAAAATAAATGAACAATAAAATCTGCATTAACAGCGTTAAAATAATTGTCGGCAATAATTAATTAGTTAACGCAAAATTAACGCATCAACGTGCCTGGCCCTAGTTTTTTTGGATGGGATATAACACCGATAACAATATAACAGCCATATAACATTTTTTTTGTAATGTCAAAATTCTTGTAAAAAATCTTCAACTGACTCTCAAACTTAAATTTGTCTCTATTACATTTTAAATTGGGTTTGTTTAGACTACATTTACTGTTATTTTGTCTCTTTAAAGTCATATTTAAAGACAGTAGGTCGGCCTAATGACATTCTAGCCAGTAAACAAAATAAGTAAACTACCACTATCAGCCTTTAGAGGTAAATGCGTGCGCGCCGTGCTAATTAATTATATTCATAAATAAGGAGCATGCCCACGACTATTCCCAGCTCATCTCCATATCAATGCAGGTCCAGTAACATATATACAGACATTATATTCACTTTACAGTAGGTCAGTGGAAGAGAAAACAGGCTCTTTATGTAGCTGACCAGATTTTTCAAAATCAAAAATTGTGACATCCTCAGTTTGTGGTGGTTGATAATAACAAGAAATTTAAAAAAATTGTTCTGCTCTCTGCCATTCATGACGAACATGTGAGTCAGTATAACCACATTTTCTTGTGTTGGTCATTTTTAAGCAGCTTTTCTGTAGTTTACCTAAAACAAATGACAGATTATGCCTCTCTTTACTGTTGGCGGCCATCAAATTGGTCAAAAATATTGACACCTCTGACATTTCTTATATTAAACTGTTACAAATCAGTGGTTTTGGCTAAATCTGCTGGGACAGGGGACACTGGCTCAAAACTGGGTAAACAGGAATGTTTAGTCACCCTATTCTAGGCTCCGACCGATGTGTTTTGTTTTTTTTTTAGGGCAGGGCAAAAATAAAAAATATTAATCGCATTAATCGCACTCGAACTCATGTCCAAACTCATGTGAAAAAAGTGAAAAAAGTGTAAAGAAAAGACGTTAAACTTAAAGAAACACTGGCGGTGGACTTTTTCAAAATAAAAGCCAGTGAGCAACAGATGTTTACAGTAAAAATAAATGAACAATAAAAACTGCGTTAATGGCGTTAATGCAGTTTTTGTCAAACTTTGAAGTAACAGCTATTGTTTTATCCTAACTGAAACTGCTTCACTCCTCGGTGCATCTGCAGATATTACAGATTTTCTGTTGACAATCCCAACTGCACAAAAAGGAAAAAAAAATATTTAAAAATAAAAGCAACTACTTCAGGTTATTCTAGAGTATTGATGAGTACAGTAGTTCAATTGAGGCTAAAAATAGCTGTTAAATCAAGTACTACCACTAAATGACATCACAAGGTGGAACAGAGCATTTTGGAGGATTAAAAGGAAACTTATTTATGACTTATCACTTATTTATGATCTGAGACGAGCCTGTATGAGCGATGAGTTTTGCAAATGTGTTGGTTTTGGAGCCACTTTTGGTTCTTTCTCATTGGCTGGAGCATAGCAACTGTAAGCTCCTACACATAAACACAGAGTGACCAGACGTCCATGTTTACCCGAGACAGTCCCAGTTTTGAGTCCTGTGTCCCCTGTCCCAGCAGAATTATACAAAACCACTGATTTGTCCCAGTTTTATACAAGAAATGTCCCAAGTGTCCCTGTTTTTGATCAATCTGATCCCTGCCAACAGTAACACAAATTGTAAATTTAGGTAAAATACAGAAAAACTGCTTAAAAACGACCAAAACACAAACAGGCTCAAAACTGGGACTGTCCGGGGTAAATAGGAGCATCTGGTCACCCTATTTAGGGTTGGACCATGTGTTTTTTGGATTGGATATAATACTAATAACAAGGGCTTTGCAGGTGCCGATAGTCGATATAACAGCCATATAACATTGTTTAGTGATGTAGGGGTGAACAAGGGCTTTGAAGGAGAGGAGTGAGATCGAGCAGAACTATGCCAAACAACTCAGATACATAATCATCCACCGGTGTCAAAGATTATAAATATAGAGTTTTCTAGGGTAGGGTGACCAGGATTTTAAAATCAAAAACTAGGACACTCTTGGTTAGGGGTGATGGTAATAATAAAATTGTGAAACAAGTGTATAATTAAGGAAAACTGTTCTGCAGAGACCATTCATGACTAATGCGTGAGTCAGTCTAGCCACATTTTCTTTGTGTTTTGGTCATTTTTAAGCAACTTTTTTGTATTTTACCTAAAACAAATGACAAAGTTTATGCCTCTCTTTACTGTTGGCAGGGATCAGATTGATCAAAAACAGGGACACTTGGGACATTTCTTGTATAAAACTGGGACAAATCAGTGGTTTTGTATAATTCTGCTGGGACAGGGGACACAGGACTCAAAACTGGGACTGTCTCGGGTAAACATGGACGTCTGGTCACTCTGTGTTTATGTGTAGGAGCTTACAGTTGCTATGCTCCAACCAATGAGAAAGAACCAAAAGTGGCTCCAAAACCAACACATTTGCAAAACTCACCGCTCATACAGACAACTCTCAGATCATAAATAAGTGATAAGTCATAAATAAGTTTCCTTTTAATCCTCCAAAATGCTCTGTTCCACCTTGTGATGTCATTTAGTGGTAGTATTTGATCTAACACCTATTTTTAGCCTCAATTGAACTACTGTACTCATCAATACTCTAGAATAACCTGAAGTAGTTGCTTTAAAATTTTATTTTATTTTTTTAACCTTTTGTACAGTTGGGATTGTCAACAGAAAATCTGTAATAACTATGGATTCACCAAAGAGTGAAGCAGTTTCAGTTAGGATAAAACAATAGCTGTTACTTCAAAGTTTGAGAAATCCTGGGCTGAAGTCATCCACATGATTCTAGTGAAGGTGTGTGGACTTTGAGAGAAGAACTCAGCCTAAATTAGTGTGACCAGATGTCCCTATTTACCCGGGACAGTCCCAGGTTTGAGCCTGTGTCCCCTGTCCCAGCAGATTTATACAAAAGCAGTGATTTGTCCAAGTTTTATACAAGAAATGTCCCAGGTGTCAATATTTTTGACCAATCTGATCCCTGCTTACAGTAATGAGAAGCATAAACTGTCATTTGTTTAGGTAAAATACAGAAAATCTGCTTAAAAATGACTAAAACACAAAGAAAATGTGACTATACTGACTCACATGTTAGTCATGGATGGGCTGAGTGCAGAACAATTTTTCTTAATTACGCACTTGTCTCACAGTTGTAGTATTACCAATAACCACAAAGTGGTGAAATCTTTTGAAAATCTGGTCACTCTAAGCCTAAATCTGCAGGGTTTGTGTGTTGAACATGTGTGAATGAAACAAAACACGACTTCAGGGTGTGATGAGGAGTAGAAAACATCAGACTGTAGACTGGGACAAGAGTGGACCTCTCAAATCTAAGTTGTTTAAATGTTTTTATAACCCTGTTCAAATGGGACTAGGCCTGGTGTAAATGTAAAAGTAGTGTGTGAATGTGCTGTTATGAATCCTGGTGCAGTGCAGAAAGTCCAACTGAACTACTCCAGATTTACAAATGTTATGTAAAACCGGAACACAATAGAAAAGCTGCTTTGCATAAATCCCACACAGAGCCAGACTAAACTCACTTTGTCATGGCTGCAAAGAAACTATCACTATTTTACTGTCTTAAAAACATTATAAAATAAACTGGTGCAATAAAGTCATTTACAGGTCTTATATTGCACAAAATTGACTCTTGTGAGTTGGCCTGTAACGATAATCAATAAATCAATTAATCGTACGATAACTTTTAATGAGCTTGATAACTTTTGTGGCCTCGATAAATTCTATTTGCAGCTTGTTTGTTTTCCTCGCTCTCTCTTGCCCTCAAAGAGATTGAATGTTAGAAGGCGTCTATCGCTCTCTGACTCCTCTCGTTTAACAAGCGTAATTTATCAACACAGCAGATACGCGCAGTGCAGAAAGCGCTGCTGTTTGTGCGGCTAAACATGAAGCCGCAACACAAGCTCGAGCCGCTGTCAGAACCAAAACAGTTCATCTCCGTGTGCCAAAACAAGTCACGATGCCGAATCAACACTGGTGAGCGAGACATGTCTCTTACGCCACGTGCGTGAAATGCAGCGAGCGCAAACGACGAGAAGAAATGTCTCAAACCCCAACAGCCGACATAAAGAAATACCAGAGCGACAGAACTAATCTAGAGCCCGAAATCCACTGAAATCCCACAAGACACTGACACGACACCAGACAGGAAAGAGACTCCCTCATAGTGAAACAGCATCCTGTGTCGTGGGTTTCCTTGCTCTAAACTAGCACCAAAACTTTAGCTCTGTAACAAAATAATTGAGTAAAATATACCAAAAAATACTCTTGGCGATATATCGATACAGCAACCCACAATATCAATACTGTATCATCACATTAAGCGATACGATATATCCCTATTCTTATGTTAACGAGTCTATTTTATTTAGGCTTTTTGTTTTTGTTTGTCTTACAGTTTCTTTGTTAAATGTTCTTTAGAAAATAAGGTTTATTGATCATTGAGAGGATGTATTTGCATTTTTATTCCATGGTCATTATATGAGTTGAAATTGGTCTCAAAATGTCAATATTATCCTTTATCGCAATAAATTCTTGGTCAATTAATCGTCCAGCAAAATCTGTTATCGTTACAGGCCTATTTGTGAGCTTTAAGTCTTGCTGTTACCTTGTCAAAAACACACACCTGGAGTTGTGTTTCGTTTCATTCACACATGTTTGAATAATCCTGCATCATTAGTCTGTCTACATCTCCAAAGCACAAAACTGTTCCACCTTGCGATGTCACAGAGTGGAAGTTTTCAAGTTTACATCTACCTTTTACATTTAGTTCAGTGGGGATTGACAATTCCAGGGTTGAAATTGTCCAAATGATTCTAGTGAAGGTGTGTGGAGTTTAAAAACACACTGGAGCACTTCCTGTATTACCACATGACATCACAAGTTAGAACATAGTGTTTTGTGTTAGTTCGCTCAAATATGCAGGGTTTGTGTGTGAAACATGTGTGAAGGAAACCAAACACAGCTCCAGATGTTTGTGATGAGGAAACAACATTAGGACATGGATCAGAAAATGGCCTAATATGGGCGTTTAACTGTGCCCCCAGGAAAGCAGCTCTTTTACCCAAAAATAAAAACACTATTTCGCTTCAGTACAGACTTATTTTAATGAACTTTTAACATGTTCAGTTATTAACATTTTAGTGATCTGTGTTTTATTCTCTGGCTTGTCACGTTGTTGTGATCAGCAGTGTTCTTCTGGTTGTGTGTAATGTCAGTTTGTTCTATGTGTGTTCAGCTGCTGTTGTCACTGAACTGAACTCAACTGTCTGTTTCAGGAACCTCACCAAGAAGTACAAGAAAGGAAGCAAGGAGGAGCAGGAGTGCAAGTACGTGAGAGTTGTCCTCTGTCCTCTGTCCTCTGTCCTCTGTCCTGGTGCTCTGTTTTCTGTTCATTGTCCTCTGTCCTGCCATCTGCTGTCTGACCTCTGTCCTGCTGGGCGATATGGATCAAAAAATAAATCTCGATATATTTTCCTATATCTCTATATATGATATATATCTCAATATCTGTATAGGAAAAAATAACCCCCTAAAACTGCAAACTGCAAAAACAAATCTGCCAAATTCCACAAGTTTTTTTTTATTGAAGTGCATGAAGTAGACAGTTCATGTAGGAACAAAGTTCTTCTGCCACGTTTAAGATTACAAAAATCCCTGATTACATAAATAATAATCTAACAGTAAAATAAAAGAAATACATATTGCCTTCTTTTCATTCATAAATAAAACAACTCAGCTCAAGCTCATCTTTGCATTAACTCTGTTATTCAGAAACAGAACCAGAACCATGAGCTCCTTCAGCAGAGGAAGCTCGGGAGGTTCCTTATTTTAACAGATCTTTGTTCCTTTCCAGCAGGAAGGAGCTCTGAGGTTTAATCCCACAATCCACTGCAGATCAAACCCAACGTTTCCAAACACTATTGTACAAGTGACACTGCAGCAGATTATTGATTAAAATCTTTTACATAAATACATTTTACATTACTAAACTTTACAACAAATAAAGCAGAATGACTCCAGAGCCACATCAGGCCGTTTGAGATTATAATGTGTTTTAACACACGTGTTTACGTTTTACAGAAATGAAACTTAAAAGCGCATGGCTAATTTGCATAAACAGCGTGCTCCTTGTGCCGCTCATGCTGTTCAGATTCTTTCGGACTAAAGGACACGACTCAGTGTTCATATGAGTGTTCTCTCTGTGACAGAGGATGTGCTGCTGATGGTTTTGTCTATAAATGGTGGAAAAGGTTCGTGATGCCAGAAGTTTTTCACTGGCACCAACTTACGGCTTTCACAGCGATAGTGAATGAGACACAAGCAGCAAAATCATGGAGGCGGCAGCGCGCAGAGGCGACGACAGAGAAGGCAAACAAGCAAAGCAGTGAAATCAGAACTGAATATAAGCAGTATATCGATATATATGTCAGAATCCATATAGAGTTTAAAAAATATCTCGACATATTTAAAATATCAAGATATCGCCCACCCCTACTGTGCCCTGTCCTCTGTCCACTGTCCACTGTCTTCCGTCCAATGTCCTGTCCCCTGCCCTGTCCTCTGTCCTGTCCTCTCTCCTGTCCTCTGTCCTGTCCCCTGTCCTGTCCCCTGTCCTGTCCTCTGTCCTGTCCTCTGTCCACTGACAAATTTATGAATCCTACTATGGTCACACCACAGTTCACTGAACTTTGTAGAAGATGAAGAAGATGAGAAAGTAAGAAGATTGTTTTATTTCACCACTGTACTAAAGAGTAATAGACTCATGTGTTTAGCTGAGTAACACTGTTGATCATTTACAACGTGAACATTTGGCTCATCTCACACGTGTTGAAGACACAAGGTCACGTGATGTAATCACATGACACACTGAAGCGTGGATTAGGTAGACTAGACCTAATCTACGTTAGGAAGCCAAATAGTGGGCAACAAATAGTTTTTTAGGTATGAAAATAAATAATGTAATGTGGGCAACTGTACATAATTAAACAGTATTCATTTTCTTGATTGTATGAACATTTAAATTGCCTCTGGTTTACCTCTGTTCTCCTCTGCTACACTTCAAATGTCACTGTGTGATGAACAGTTTTTATTTTCTGACTCTAATGTCGGCCTATAATAGGCTCCATTATTGATATTTGGCCACATCATTGCATCTGTTACTCATTAAAACTTCAGTGTTGGAAATTGGTGATTATTCTTTTTAATTATGTGCGGTTGCCCTTATTACATTATTTATTTTCATACCTAAAAAACTATTTGTTGCCCACTAATTGGCTTCCTAACGTAGGTTTGGTCTGGCCTATCTAATCCACGCTTCAGTGTGTCATGTGATTATGTCACGTGACCTTGTGTCTTCAACACGTGTGAGATGAGCCAAATGTTAATATGAGATTGTTCACGTTGTAAATGATGAACAGTGGTACTCAGCTAAACACATGAGCCTATGACTCTTTAGTTCCAGTGGTGAAAAACAGTCTTCTTACTTTCTCATCTTCTTCATCTTCCATTGATGCTGATCATGTGTTTCAGTCTTGCCTGAAGCTCAACCATCAGAAGCAGAGTTTGGCAAACTGTGGCGTGGCCATAGCAGGATTCGTAAATTCGCTGTCTGCTGTCCTCTGTCCTCTGCCCACTGTCCATTCTTCTGTCCTCTCTCTACTGTCTTCTGTCCACTGTCATCTGTCTGCTGTCCACTGTCCTGGTGCTCAGCCCTGGTCCTCTGTCTTCTGTCCGCTGTCCTCTGTCCTGTCCACTGTTTACTGTCCTCTGTCCGTTGTCTATGCCCACTCTTCGCTGTCATCTGTCGTCTGTCCACTGTTGTCTGTCCTGTCCTATTCTGTCCTCCATCCTGTCCTTTGTCCACTGTCCTGATCCTCTGTCCTGGTCTACAGTCCTCTGTCCTGGTATTTGTCCTCTATCCACTCTCCTGGTCCTCTGTACAGTTCCACTATCCTCTGTCCTCACGAGTCCTCTGTGTCCCCTCTGTGCAGATTCAGCAACCACGCGTCGTTCCAGGACATCCTGAGCGAGCTGAATGACTACGCGGGGCAGAGGGAGGTGGTGGCGGAGAACATGATGACCTCCATCTGTGTGGAGCTCACCAAGTTCCTCCAGGAGATCAAGCAGGAGCGCAAGACTGTGAGCACGTTACACTCTCATTACACACACAACAGATTATCCATAGTTTGGAGAGACGCCACGCTGGGGGTGTTCTACATGTACAGAGGACCGGGACAGTGGACAAAGGACAAAATGGAGGACAGATGACAGGCAAAATAGCACAGGACAGAGGACAGTGGACCGATGAGAGTGGACAGACTACAGATGACAGTGGACCAAGGACAGAAGACAGATGACCATCCAGAACCCAGAATTTAGAGACAGGCTAACCTTTCTGAGCATTTGTGAACTTCTGCACCTGGATTACCATGAAGTACTTGGAGGAGGACCAAAGTGGCTATACAAACTGGGCACGAGACATGATGACCAGAGTAATTAACAAAAACCCCAGTGACCCCCAGGAACTACTCACTAAAGACGACCCAAAGGAGACAATGCAAAATCAGTGTGATTCCCTCCACTCATCCAGAGAACATGAGAGCATTGACAATGAGGTGTCAGAACATAGAGAAAATGCAAATATGTTGGACCAGGCACCATATATTATCCAGGAGTACAGAACCCTGTAGCTCCTCGGTGAAGGGCTTTATGGAAAAGTCATGCACTGCTTCAAGCCTCACACACCTGAGGCTGTGACAGTGAAAATGATGAAGGGAGGCAAGAGCACTTTCAGAGAAGAACTGCACCTGCTCCACTATGTCGGACAGCTGGATCCTGACAGAAACAACATTGTCAAATTCATTGACTCTTTTGTTTGGGAAGACCAGAAATGCCTGGTTTTTGACATGTTGGATATCAGTCTTCAGGACATGTTGAACAAATGGGGTATCTAACCGCTGAATGAGATCAGACCAATTGCTCAGCAGCTTCTGGTGGCCTTTATTGGCCTCAAACAGATGGGTGTGGTGCACACGGACCTCAAGCTTGACAATGTGATGCTTGTTGATCAGAAATTTCATCCTTTTAAGGTGAAACTGATTAACTTTGGTCTAGCCTACCCAAAATCAAGAGCTGGAATTGGGAATGCGGGTGCAGCCAAAGGCTTTACCGGCTCCAGAGGTTAGCCTAGCCTACCTCTGACTGAAGTCATAGACATGTGGTCTCTGGGCTGTATTCTTGTGAGTCTGTACTTGGGTGACCACCCCTTCTCTAGCACACCTTACAAAAACCAAAAGACCATTATTGAAGCACTGGGTTTTCCTCCCAATGAACTTTTGAGCCAGGGAATATTCACTAAGAAGTACTAGTCCCTGCAGGAGGACGGCCAGTGGAGATTTAAGACTCCAGATGAATTAGAAAGAGATACAGGTTTGGATCCACTTGACAGTCAAGTCCTCTATAAGGCCGCAGTTTAGATGAAGCAGTTCTATGCTACTCACCCGTAAACCAGAACCCACAATTCAGAGACAGGCTGACTTTTCTGAGTCTGTGTGAACTTCTTCTGCACCTTGATTCCAGGAAGAGAATAACTCCAGGTGCAGCCTTATATCACCCATTTATCACCATGATAAAGGAGAACCAAAGTGACTATGCAAAGTCACTTCACCCACCTTGCCTATGTTCATAAAACCCTAGCCTCATAAATATGTAGTTATATTTGGGAAATAGATATAATTATTGATAGATAATCAAATGTAATGGTATTATTTCATTGTGGTAGAATTGAATGCTTGAATTCTAATACAGTCAAAAAATATCCCCACACACATACACAATCACACACACACACACACACACGCACCAAAAACTAAATAAAAATATATAAAAATCTTTGTCTCTTATCTCAGAGGATTTTCAGAATATGCTTTTAATTAATTGCAGCTCAATTCATTCACTGTTTTTCAAGGCCCTCCTCAAAATTAAAACCACCTGTAATGGAATTATGCAAGATAGATCAAGTGTAATGACATAATACTGTAGAACAAACAGGTAGAGGACGCGCCGCCACAAATGTTACATAATGAAGCTTTTACGTGTGTGTCTGGGCTGGTATTCGTCCCATTGTGGTGACAGATGTTTGTATACACAGTGATTTCATGCCACCTGACTTTGTCTTAAAATGCAAAACAACAGTTATAGATTGTTCATTTTAAATGGTTTGCAATGGTCCAAAGTTTTTCTTCACTTTCTGAGCGTCCTTATTTAGTTTACAAACGCCTTTCGCAATTCTCAGCAATGCTAACAACAGCTAGCAGATTTTGACTTCAAGAACTGCTTATAAAATATATGTGTACTGAAGCAAGGCATGTTTTACAGGGCCTCTAATGTAAAGTAAAGTATGGAAACCTAACATGTGTATTTGTGTGTGTGCAGCACCTGTCGGATGTGAAGAAGGCCCAGCAAACCCTGGAGAGCAGCTTCAAACAGCTGGAGAGTGTAAGTCCTTCAACTCTGCAACATCTCCACTAAACTACTGTATTTTAAGCACTATATGTCGCTCTGGATTATAAGACGCACTGTTATTGAATGGTCTATTTTCAAACTTTTTTCACATATAAACCACACTGGACTATAAGACGCATTAAATGAAACACAACTGTTAGACAAGTCAGTCAAACTTTATTTATCACGTTCACAATAACTCAACTTTGTTCAAATGTAATGCGTAAAAAATACTGTCTGAGACGCTAAATTGTTAGTGTATTCACAATAAGTCATAACTGTTCAAACAGTTGGGTGATTACGGCATCCAGCACGTCCACATCCCTCTCGTCATTATCCGAGTCAGTGTGGTTACTGTTCCCTGGCAGTTCAGTGATGATTCTGGTCTTGGTGAAAGCTCGGACCACAGTTGATACTGATCCTTAGCCCAGGCGTCCATGATCCGTTGGCAGGTCGCTCGGTGCTGTCTCTCTGTCTTGGGGATTGTGCGTTCACCTTCTCTCATCCACTGCTCCCACGCAGCTCACACTTTCACTTTATAACAGCCTTGAGTTTAAAGTGGGTGTTGTAAGCGTGTCTCTTGACAGGTGCATTTTGATATTAAAAGGAATCACAGGATGTATTACTCCTGATGCTCCTGACTACGGGAGCCGTAACGCTGTAAGTGGAGCGGCTTTGTAGTTTACTAAAGTCGTACTAAGACACCCGAGTAAATTAATATATAAGGCGCTCTGGATTATAAGGCACGCAGTCATTTTTGGATGAAATTAAAGGCTTTTAAGTGCATCCTATAGTGCAGAAAATACAGTACACTGTGCAATGTCCAGTGACTACAGACTGTATACACAAGTGGACAGGACAATTGTGATGTCACCCATAGTGTCTGGCTCCAGACAAATTAAACCAATTGAGGCTAGAGCGGTTGTTTGGAGTCGAGTTCCATTTTGAAGTTCTACATAAGTGTGTCATAGAAACTAAAGTGCCAGTAGGCTCTGTTCACGCTTACATCACAAACCAGAAAGACGTTTGGAAACATGCGATGGCAACTTCCGGTGTAGTTCCTGACACTGGGCTCGCCAATCGACTGTGACTCGACTGAAGTAAATGTGATCAGTGGTAAAATAAAAACTGCACACCGCATGTGCTGTTTGGAATCATCTTGAATTTGGCGCCTCATCTCTTCTAATCACATGTACCAGTGCACTCAGAGATGTGCGGCAGTGGGGAAATAATGCAAACTGAGTTCTGGTGGTAATTGTTGATTTGCCGAACATAACAGAACACTACAATGACATGGAGACGAAGAAAACTGGGACATTTTCAAATTTTTCCTAGATTTTGCCAGACTTACTACAGCAAACAGAACCCACCAGAAATTGTCATTGCATGTTTCCAAACATCTTCCTGGTTTGTGACGTGAGCGTGAATAGAACTAGAAATAGAAAGTGTGAATTAGGAGCGAGGGTGTTGAAGGTACTCGCCCCTTCACAAGCTGTCAATCAAACCTGTTGCGCCAGCGCAGCAGTGTCAAACTCAAATTCACAGAGGTCAAAATTAAAAATTGGGACTAAGTCGTGGGCCAAACTAAATATTTATTGAAAAAATTTCAACAACATCTGCATGTTTTCTCTTCTTTCGAGATATGTAATGTTAAATCTTTTTTATTAAAATAAAAGTTTAATAATAGTTTTGCTTAAACATTGAATCCAGAACAAGCAGAATATAAAATAATAACATAATTTTAAACAAATAATGTGTCTATAGTCTATCTGTAGTCGGCGGGCAGCTCTAATATATATTTGATACGATCTTGTGAGCCAAATATAATTATATCACGGGCCAAATTTGGGACTGTTATTCAGTTGAAAGTGAATTGGAGCCAGAGTCGATGGATCCATTACAGTTTATGAATGTGGCTGGACAGTAATGATGGCTCCATGTCAAAATGTAGGCTCCTGAACATTCTGGAATCTAACCCTGCTTAAAATGACGTGAATTCACAAATGCATCTGGCCATAGTCTCAAAATTCATATCTAAGATCAGATACATTTCAGTACCTTTCAGCTATTTTGCCGTTTGGATATTTGTTTACACTCATTTTACAACATAATTTGCTATATTGGATTCATTAAATGCTTTATTTGATGACTTCCACTTCTACTTCCATAGACTTGTGCGCTCCTCATTATTCGCTGGAGTGATCTCTTTGTGCGATCGGAAGTGCTTATGTCAGGCAGCCAAATGAGAAACGCTCTGTAATAAACCCATTCATTATGAGAATCATGAAAGATCATTAGCGCTGACTAATTACTGCCTCAGAGTCGCAACCAATTTATTATCTGTAGAAGCCTTTCAGACAGAGATGATGACATTAAAGGGCCCGGTTACACTATTTTCTTTTCTGTGTTCTAATGTTGTTTCCTCACTGCAGACAGACCTGGAGTTGTGTTTTGTGTTATTCACACATGTTTAACACACAAACCCTGCACGTTTAGGCTGAGTTTATTTAGTTTATTTAAGCCCTCAAACAGAAAACACTCTGTTCCAACTTATGATGTCATGTGGTATACAGAAAGTACGGAAGCCGAGAGGGGTCACAACAAACGCAAATGACGCAACAAATACAAATGCGACAACACAACAAAAAGCCACAACACACCAAAAAAAGCCACAACAGAAATGACCGCGGGACTCTATTTTAATGCAAACGCCGTAACAAATACAAACGCCACAACACAAACGCAAATGTCACAACACATTAAAAAGCCACAACACATTAAAAACCCACAACACATCAAAAAGCCACAACGGAAGTGACCGTGGGACTTTATTTTTTGACGGACTGATCAGGCAGCAAGTGAAGAAGAAGATCTACAATGTGAAACGAATAATGATAAAACAATAATTTACTTTTACTTACGTTTCCAACTTCTCCGTTCCTTTACTTTTCACGTTGTAGTTCTTTTTCTTCACTTGCTGCTTGATCAGTCCCGCGGTCACTTCCGTTGTGGCTTTTTAATGTGTTGTGGCTTTTTAATGTGTTGTGGCTTTTTAATGTGTTGTGGTATTTGCGTTTGTGTTGTGGCGTTTGTATTTGTTGCGGCGTTTGCATTCAAATAGAGTCCCGCGGTCATTTCTGTTGTGGCTTTTTTTTGGTGTGTTGTGGCTTTTTGTTGTGTTGTGGCATTTGTATTTGTTGCGGTGTTTGCGTTTGTTGTGACCCCTCTCCGCTTCCGTAAGAAAGTGCTCCAAAAACAAAACAAGAAAAAAAAAAAGAACAACAGGTAGCGAGTCGCTGTTAACTTGAAAACTACAATTTCATGACATCACAAGGTGGAGTGTTTTGAGCTTTGGAGATGTAGGCAGACTAATAATAAAGTGTAATTCAAATGTGTGAAAGAAAAAAAATCACAACTTTATGAGGAGGTAGCGTGGCATAAATAGCGTAAACAGAGTAGTATGTCATCTTTAATGATAACATGCTGTCCTGTGTTGTGTTGTAGACAAAGAAGCGTTTTGCCAAAGAGTGGGCTGAGGCGGAGAAGGCCACGCAGCAGGCTGAGAAGACCGAGAACGACCTGAACGCCACACGCCTCGACGTCGAGAAGGTACACGCTAATGCTAATGCTAATGCTAACAACGAGAGCTTGGCTGGAGAGACGGAGACGCTTACACCTCGACAGATGGAGTCTCAGACCCCATTTACACTAAAACAAATCCGTGTATCACCGTATCAGCGTATCGGAAATGATCATGGATAATGGCATAAACTAAGTGCTCCAAAAACAGCTCGCTATACACGCATCAAGAATATCGGACTTCGAGTCATTGCGCAATTCATACTGGGAAGGATTTTCCGAAAAAGTGAGCATCAAACCTCCATGTTTGTTTTCCCAGTGGGATGTGTCTATTGACAAAGTTGATCTTTTCTAGTCTTTTGAACCATATCACTTTTGTTTCTGGTTCTGATATTGTCATATTTTAGTTTTGGGATTCGGACATCGTAATTGTGTGGTTGTTGGATCCTAACAGAGGAAAACACCTCAAGAAATGTATTTGCAAACTCCATAGATGCAAAAGAGAATCAGATGTGTGTGACTGCAAACCTCTGTTCAAACTGTTTCTCTTCCCAACGGAGCTGAAAAAAAAAAAGGCGAAAGGTGATGGGCAGGATTGATCCACAGGAAGGACGAAAAAGGAAACCTTTGGCTGCCTCAGAAATCATCCTGAGTTTGCAGTGAACATTTTGTATGTGGAGCGCCAACAAAGCAAAATCCTGATCCCTCGCTCCACCTTGGTTACGAATTAAAAAAGTCAATGCCAAAGCAAAAGGCACCAACTGTTCACCTTCCACTGCAAAGAGACCAAGACGTGATGTTTCTGTAAAACCACAAGAACAAGAAAGTGCAGCTCAGTCTGTTTGTCTTCTGCACCTCTCACTTAACAAACAGGATCCCACTTTGTTGTCACTCCACATACAAAATGTTCACTGCAAACTCAGGATGATTTAGGCAGTCAAAGGTTTCCTTTTTGGTTCTTCCTGTAGATCAATCCTGCCCATCGCCTTTGCCTTTCACTATTTTTCAATTCTGTTGGAAGGGAAACAGTTTGAACAGAGGTTTACAGTCACACACATCTGATTCCCTTTTGCATTTATGGAGTTCACAAACACATTTCTGGAGCCGTTTTCTGCTGTTATGATCCAGCAACCACACAATTACAATGTCCGAATCCCAAAACTAAAATATGACGATATCAGAACCAGAAACAAAAGTGATATGGTTCAAAAGACTTGAAAAGATCGACTTTGTCAATAGACACATCCCACTGGGAAAACAAACATGGAGGTTTGATGCTCACTTTTTCAGAAAATCCTTCCCAGTATGAACTGCGCAATGACCAAAAGTCAGAGATTCTTGATGCGTGTATTGTGCGCTGATGCAGTTCACCTTCTGTCGGACTAGTGGACACGACTCAGGTGAATATGAGTGTTCTTTCTGTGACAGAGAGGTGTTCTGCTAATGGTGAGTTTGTCCTGTTCTGAGATAGTTCATATTAAACTTTTCAGAGATTATACAGTCTATGTGTATGATCATACGCATATATGAATGGACAAATATTCTAGCCTCGTTCTGGCGCTGAATTAGCTACTTCGCGGCACATAGAACTACATCAGTGTATCGGCATTTTCAGACATCGACACAGTGCCGGATCAGATCTGTGCTCAGATGAATTCATGGGAGCTGGCGGCACCAGATCGTTCCGTCTCTGCATCCACAATGAAAACGATTTGAATAATGTCCACTAATGTGGACAGAGCCTCAGTTCTGTGATGAAACTGAGACTCCATATGTGCCTTAGATTAACTCTCAATTCAGTAAAACTTGTAAAACATTAAATGACTTAACAATTGAACCCATTTTTAGGGTGACCAGATTTTCAAAATACAAAACTGGGACACCCCTGTTTGTGGTGGTTGGTAATAATAAAATTGTGAAACGAGCAGGTAGCACAAGCAGTTTTTCTGTATTTTACAAATGACAATGTTTGCCTCTTTTTACTGGTGGCAGGGATCAAATTGGTCCAGAATACAGAAACCTGGGACATTTCTTGTATAAAACTGGGATAAATCTGCTGGGACCAGGGACACGGGGCTCAAAACTGGGACTGTCCTAGGTAAATAGGGACGTCTGGTCACTGTACCCATAGTAGTTGACTTTAGTTTTGACATAGTTTTGACTTCTTTAAGTTATGAAAGCTGCATGAATCTGTGGAAATATAAAGTTAAAACCGTACTTGGTAACATTTCATGGAATACCAGAAAAAGCCATAGTCAAAGGAACAACATTTCCATGGAAACAAGCAGGTGGAAGCCCTCCTCCAGACTAGTCAGGTTTGTGGAGACACAAGCCTGCTCAGTGCAATAAACACAACACCACTGAAAACAGCAGGTTTTTAATTTAGTCTGTTTGTTTTCTAAAAAATGTCAGTTTCTTTAAATCATTTGAACACTGAATCGTTTCTTCATTGCTTGTTTTGTCATACTTTTATTTATCAGATATGTACATCTAATATACAACCAGCCAATCCTGAGCCAGTGTCTTTGTGCTCTTAGGCCAAGCACTACGCCCACACCCGCACCCACATCGCAGAGGAGAGCCGCAGTGACTACGCTGCCCAGCTACAGAAGTACAACAAGGAGCAGAACTACCACTACTACACAGACATACCCCAGATATTCAATGTGAGTACTACACAGTGTACTCACTTTGTCCTGGACGTGACCCCGGGGCAAGGCACACGTCCAGGGATTTGGACCATGACGCAGGCTGGACTTAAAAGGGCCTGGATTATGATATTTTCTGCTGATCTATGTTCTGATGTTGTTTCCTTATCACAAACAGATCTGCAGTTTATATTTAACACACAAACCATGCAAACTTTAGGTTTATTTGTTCTTGTTACAAATAGAAAACACTCTGTTCCACCTTGTGATGTCATGTGGTTATACAGGAAGTGCTCCGCTATGTTTTTAAACTAAATACACCTTCACTAGAAGTATTCAGATTATTTTAGCATTGGAATTGCCAAACTTTGAAGCTGTAGCCACTGTTTTGGCCTCACTGACATTTCTTTGCTTAAACTTAAACAACTTAAGGTTATCCTTTACCCTGGAACAGAGCATTGTGAGCTTTGGAGATGTAGACAGCATAATAATGCAAAACATGTGTGAATGAAACTAAAACACAACTCCAGGTATGTGTCTGAGGAGGTAACAACATTATAGAGGACAAATATCCCCACTGGGACAATAAAGAACCTTTCCTATAACATGGCTTAAAGCTCGTAAGTCACTTTTACTTTATATAGGAGATATATTGTATATTATATATACTGTGTATTATGCAACTTTTATTGGCTTTTATCCATATTATAATGTTGTCCTCTCACTTAACTCACTCAGAGTTGTTTGAATCATGTTGACCTGCATTCAAGGCCATTGCTCTAAACATTTCAGTTACCCCCTACCACCCACAACTCTGTACATACTTTGTGCTTTTATTTTCAAAACAGATATTCTGCTGCTCGCTATTGTGATGACATGTGCTGTTACATAAGGTTAGATTTCCTGTAAGACATTTGGCAGATGAGGTAAGATCCTATTGATAAACTGCATATGTATGTAGTTACAATGGCAAAGTTAAAGACGTCTGAGGAAGTGTCCCTTTTGTACTGGATTCCTGTTCTTTCACAGAGGAACAGTAAAAAAGAAACTCACAAATGGAAAAAAAGGGGAAGATACAGACGATCATTTCTCCTCTTTGAGTCAGCTTTAAATAGTCTTGTCTGCACTCTTATTTCCGGATGTATAGTCTTGCATCAGTCCAGATTTATGGTTTAAGCAGCAACAGATTTAGATCACCATGTCACCTTTTAGTGTAGTAGTGTCCCTGCTCCCATTACTCCCCGTGTTAAGTCACTTCTCCTTCAGAGCGCTGTCAGAACATAATCAGAGTGCCCTGCCTCAAGGTCACGAGGTCAAGTATCTCGGGGTCTTGTTCACGAGTGAGGGGAGGATGGAGTGTGTGATTGACAGGCTGATCTGTGCAGTGTCGACAGTGATGTGGTCGCTGTATCTGACCATTGCGGCAAAAGGCAAAGCTCTCGATTTACCGTCAAGCTATGTTCCTCTCCTCACCTACGGTCATGAACTTTGGGTAATGACCGAAAGGACGAGGTCGTGGATATAAGCGGTTGAAATGAGTTTCCTATGCGGGGTGGCTGGGTGCTCCCTTAGGCTACGTTCAGTCTGCAGGGCTTAACACTCAATTCAGATTTTTTTGTGAAATCCGATGTTTTTGGGAGGTCGTTCACATTTCCAGTAAACTTGACTTGTATGTGATCTCCAGTGTGAACATTAAACAGTACAAAAGTGTCCCATATGTGCACTGGAGACACGACGACGTCAACCGCAGCGAGCGTGCTCTGTGTTTACAGAAGTTGTCCAAACATGGACGCAGCATTGAGCACCTGGAGATTTTAAAGTTCCTCTCGTACCGGAGCCAGAACATGAACAACTTACTTGTTTTAAGGAGGAGATTGAGAAGGAGAAGGACGAGGTTTTTGGCCGTGGTGTTTTGTGGGACAGTTCGTTGAAAGGAACGTGTGGATGCAGAGACGTAGCCAAGAGTGGTGGGAATGCGATGTGCTTCACTTCAGTGACACGGAGTTCATTAACAATTTTCGTATGACGAGAAGAACGTTTGTGTACATTTATGGCTTGTTGATAACGTGTAGGTCGGATGAATGCGCCTTGGCCGTTCAGACTAACGTCGCATGTGAAAAGATCGGATATGTATCGATTTTAGGAGCACATATCCAAGTGGCCTGGGTCACATTTGAAAAAATCGGATTTGGGTCACTTCAGGCTGCAGTCTGAACGTAGCCTTAGAGATAGGGTGAGGAGCTCAGTCACACAGGAGGAGCTCGGAGTAGAGCCTCTGCTCCCCCACGTCAAGAGGAGCAGCTGAGGCTTGGGCATCTGCTCCGTATGTCTCCTGGGTACTGCCCTCAGGAGGTGTTCTGGGTATGTCCCACCAGGAGGAGGCCCCGGGGACGACCCAGGACACGCTGGAGGGACTATGTCTCTGGGCTGGCCTGGGAACACCTCAGGGTCCCCCTGGAGGAGCTGGAGGAAGTGTCCAGGGTGAAAGAAGTCTGGGGGTCTCTGTTTAGTCTGCTGCCCCTTCAACTCGGCTCCGAATAAACAGAAGAAAATGGATGGATAATGTCCCTGCTCCCTTTACTCCTTGTGTTAAGTCACTCCTCCTTCAGAGCGCTATCAGAACATAATCAGAGTGTATTCTAATGAAATTACTGCACATCAGATAAAGTCAGAGTGTACAGTTTTATATCATGATTTTGTATATTTATTGAGAATTGACTTTAGGCTTGTTTTTGATGAGGGAACAGCTTTGTAACATGTCGAAAGCAAAACAAATGTAAAAAGATTTGGTATAAAACCCCTCTTTAAAGGGCTCATCTTACACTATTTACTGATCTATGTTACAAGACAAACTAATAATAAAGGGTTATTCAAACATGTGTGAATGAAACAAAACAACTCCACATATGTTTTTGAGGAGGTAACAACATTCCAGCATAACTAAAAGCTCACAAGAGTCCATTTTATGTAATATAGGAACTTTAAGAATATACAGTCCCTGACAAAAGTCTTGTCACTTATCCATTTTGTAGAAACAAAAGCTTATAACTTGACTTCAAATTAATCGATTAGTTTTAAAAATGTCTCATATGAAAGCTAAAACCCTCCCAAATTATGCTCAATAAACTAAAATAAATTTGCTTCACTGAAGAAAGATTGATCATTTAATGAACACAGAAAGGTCAGATTTTGGCAAGACAAAAGTTTTGTCGCCTACAGAAAATTGAACATAATTTACTTCAAATACAAAAATATGTTGCATAACGTCAGTGAATGAAGTAGTGGTGCTGTGAGATCCATATTTAATATCTTGTATGACTTCCATGAGCTTGAAGGACACATCCATGCAGTTCAACAATGATTCATACAATTTGTTGATGAAGTCATCAGGAATAGCAAAGAAAGCGTCTTACATGCCTCCCAGAGTTCATCAAGATTCTTTGGTTTTGTCTTCCATGCTTCCTCTTTCATTCTACCCCAGACATGCTCAATGATGTTCATGTCTGGTGACTGGGCTGGCCAGTCCTGGACCACCTTGATCTTCTTCACCTTGAGAAACTTTGATGTAGAGATAGAAGTATGTGATGGAGCACCATCCTGCTGCAAAATTTGACCCTTTTATGGTTGGGAATGTAAGAGGAGCTAATACTTCTTGATATTTTAGGTTATTGATATTTGCCTTCCACCCTGCAAATGTCTCACACACCCCCAGACTGGATGGAACCCCAGACCAGGATTTTTCCACCACCAAACTTAACTGTTTTCTGGGTGAATCTTGGATCCATGTGGCTCCAGTAGGTCTCCTGCAATATTTGCGGTGGCTGTGATGTAATTCAACCGAGGATTCATCTGAGAAATCCACCTTCTGCCACTTTTCCAGTGTCCATCCTTTTAGCAGGCTGTGGGCCTTGGCAAATGCCACACATGGTTTTTTAATTGCCTTTTGTTTAGTGCTGGTTTCTGTGCACTGATTCGACCATGGAGGCCATTTCCAGACAGAATTCTACAAACTGTTGTGGTTTACACAGGGACTTGAGGTGACCAGGCCTGGTGGAGTCTGCTGCAGTGGAAAAGGGGCCTTGGATTTTCGAATCAACAAACGGTCCTCCCGAGCAGTTGTCTTGCGGGGTCTGCCGGACCTGGGCTTGTCAAAAACATCTCCAGTCATTTCAGATCTTTTTCTTATTCTTTGTACTTGACGCTGAGACACATTGAAGGTGTCACCACCTCAGCAGTGGATCTGGTCTTCAGCCTCTTGATAATTAACGCTTTGGTCTCAGGGTGGATCTTAGGCATGTTGTCAGAGGTCAAGTTGCAGTTGATGTGAAGGTCTGGTGTGCTGGGCTTCTTTTTATACACACCCACTAACTGACTGATCAGTAACTGATCACAGGTGAGGCTGTAATCTAGGATTGGGTGCATCATATGACAAGGCCACAAGACTTTTGTCTTGCCAAAATCTGACCTTTCTGTGTTCATTAAATGATCAATCTTTCTTCAGTGAAGCAAATTTATTTTAGTATATTGAGCATAATTTGGGAGGGTTTTAGCTTCATATGAGACATTTCTAAAACCAATTGATTAATTTAAAGTCAGGTTATAAGCTTTTGTTTCTACAAAATGGATAAGCGACAAGACTTTTGTCAGGGACTGTATATTGTGACTTGAGAAATGACAATCTTTGACCACATTCTAATCTCAAATTGATGAGTTGAATAAATACAGCGACAGTGTAAGTAAGGAGGCATGGGTCTCACAACTGTAGTAACAAATCAGTCTAAGTTCTGCTTGTGGCCTTATCGTCCTGGAGATACGGAGCTGAAGAATGTGTGAGAGGAGGAGGAGCAAGTGCCCACAGCGGACGACTCCCTTTCACTCCAAGGCCATCTGAAAACACAAACATTTCTCTGTTCTAAAGGCAGCACGACTCCACCAAAACCAGACACTATACTACCACTACCTCTAACCTCTCTGGTGGAAGCTACAAAATCTGCTTATCACTATGGAAATAGTATTACTTTAGCTGGGGTGCTGCACAGTAAAGCATCAAACATGTATCTAGAATTTGTTTTATTGTAGCTCAAAACTGCATTGAAAAACAGGCTTGCCTCTTCACAGATATGACCTGTAACTTGGCCTGGACAGGTCAACAGCTTGTTTAAAGTTTCAAAGAACTGTATATTAGATTTCATGAACTTGACCCATCTGTGTCCCAGTTATGTGGTAAATGGTCAAATCAAATATAACACACTGATAACCACTGTACAGTAATGCTGATGTGTTCTTCATTACAAAAACACTGGACATGATGAACACGTTGTTTATGTTATAATTCAGTGTTTTGGTTCAAGAAAAAAATCCAATCAGAAAGCAGAATGAGCCTCATATGACTCTCTTATTTGAGTTGCCAGTTTCAATTCTGAAATCCAGTTGGTTTAAACTGAAAAGGACTCAGGTGCAGGACAGGTGTGGTATAGGACCTTGACCTCGCGGTGAGGGGCCCTGGGGTCAACATACCATATAGTATTTTGACCCTGGGGTCAGAATCCTATTATGGTATGTTGACCCCCTATAGCATATTGACCCACCTATGAAAATCTATATTTTATTAATAAAAAACTTGAATTCTATAGAAAAACTTTGAATATTAATACGATATCTACAAATTAAAACATACTGACATATTTAACAGTGGTTTTTGAAGAACTTACATACATTTTTATGTGGATTATAACTTTTGAATGTTAAAAATGACTTGTTTAAACACATACTTTCCTGAAAATGATGAGATAAGTAGTTATTAATTACTTATGTAATCAAAGTGATGTACAATGATTTGGAATCTTGTTCAAATAGACAGGACTGATCAGTGGAGTAGTTAAATAGGGGAAACCTATGGCTATAGTAATCTGACCCCCCAATATGTTTATTATAGTTATTATGATGTAAAGTAAGAAGTCATGTTAGTTGAATATTGACAATGATCTATTATATTTAAAAAAGGTCAAAATCCTATGACTATAGTAATCTGATCCCCCAATATGTTTATTATAACACAACATGACTAAATTCAAGGTCATAACAAACCATTGCCTAAATTGACATTATGATTCTTAGGATTATCTGAACATAGCAAACTAAAAACCATAACAATGTAAAATACAATATAAAAGTGACAAGATTGTTATGTATATGCAATTTTAACAATACGTTACATTTACACAAAATACCAAGTCGTTCTCCATCAAAACATTCCTTAAAATACCTTAAAAGAAAGTGAATATGTAGCAATATATAATAAAAGTAAATGTCATGAGAAATAATGATCAGATAAGTAACATACTAAAGGAAAAATAAGGGGGGTCAAAATCCTATGGGGGGGTCACTTTACTATAGTGGTATGTTGACCCCGGGGTCAATATACTATGGGGGTCAAAATACTATCTCACACTGGCAATCATAAACCAGTGCTAGTGCAGCCTCTGCAGCTCGGTCAGGGAACTGTGTTCTAACTTTGAGACTAGCAGGGGGCAGATCCCTCATCAGAAAAGTGCCACAGTACTACTCTTCCTCCACACTGGAACATAGAACATCTTTTATTTTGTAGGAACCTCTGTGTCCTCTCAAGTTAGAAGACACCTCTGTCTCCTCTGTTCTTATAAACAGAAGTTACAGGACATGGATGAGTCTTTTATTTTGAAGTAACCCCTGTCTCCTCTCTTCTCACAAACAGAAGTTACAGGACATGGATGAGCGGAGGATCCGGAGGCTAGCTGAGGGCTACTGTCAGTTCTCGGAGATTGAGAAGAATGTGCTCCCTATCGTCACCAAATGTCTGGACTGCATCTATACCGCAGGGACACGTATCAATGCTAATCAGGTGGGACACACACACTCACACACACTGGAACATATGCAGTATTCAACAACTATGAGCAATAGTCAGGTTATCTTTAGGTTTCACTTTTGTTTTCTTTGTTGGTCAGACGTATAATGGCCACATTTCCATATTTGTACTATTCATGTAATTTGAATTACTTTGTGTACAAATTGTGCTATACAAATAAACTTGGCTGGCCTATACCAGTCTCCCAACTAAAAGTACAAGTAACAGGTTAACAGACTCGCAGCGTTTAGCACTAACAAAGAAAAGAGAGATAGTCCCTCTGGTCCCTCTGCTGAAAGAGCGTCTCCTGCTCTGATTGGTCATTTAGAAATGAACATTGCCATATACACAAACACGTTATTAACATTTCAGTTTCCTTAAACTTTATTTAAAATCTAACAACCTCCAGAAGTCACATTTATCTGGGAATGCCTACATAAGACACTGTTTTAGTAATGTTAGCTGCAAATGTTTTATGAAGGCCCCGGCACTATCACGACTTTGAACAGAATTCATTTCAAAATTTCAGTCATTTCAAACAGATTTTAGGAGTAGGATCTGGAAACCTAAAGAAAGACTTGATATTTTATGATTCAATCAATGTTACAATTGTCTGTAAAGTCAATGTTTGACGTGTCATGTTTACTTTGTGTGAACACTGAAATAGTCATTCAAATCTTACATATTTTGTAAGTGATTGTGATTTTAAATGTACCAAAAGTGAGAATTTTAAAAGCAAAAATAGCTCGCTTAAAGGAACTTTTTCTCTCACTCTGCACTCTTAGAGTTTTAAAAAGGTACTATTATCAAATCTGATCTGAGCCTGGGTCCCCAGAGCTTTAACCTGCAGATAGAGACACATCCAGGTTTGTGTCCAATCAGTGCAAAGATTTCGGTGTGGTCAGTGGGATAAAGACAAGTACTGTTTTTGTGCATAGTAGCAATAATCATAATAGTCATCATTAAACCTGGTCCCCTCCCTCTCCACCCTGTCTTATCCTAAGTGCTGTCCTTTGTCTCTTCCGCAGGACTCCATCCTCTTCATAGAACAGCACAAGTCGGGCTTCGAGCGGCCCTCAGACGTGGACTTTGAGGACTACTCTCATGGAATCAAACCCGCAACCTCAGAGTCCACCCTGAACGCGCCCAAACACAAGGCCAAGCTGTGGCTCTTCAGCAAGAAGAAGGTCAGAGCTGCCACCACACTGTCAATATGTCCACCACATGTGTCCTATATGTCCTCTGTGTCCTCTGTGTCCTCTGTGTCCTGCACTCTTCATTCTCATGGATGATCTGTTACAAACTTTTCTCTCAAATAGTATCAGTGTTACTATGTTAATAACTACTGTTATTTAGCATCACAGAGTGTAAATAGAAGTGGACTAAGGGAGTGTGACGTCACCCACAGTGTTCAGCTCCAGTCTAATGAAGCTTGCTGAGGCTAGCAGTTATAGGAGTGAATTTGGAAGTGCACCATGCTCACCTCCCGTTTGGAAGGCGGCAAATAGTTGGTTAGCTGTTCTTTTATATATACAGACCATGTTTAACTTGGATTTTTTTTTTTTTATCTACTCCAGTCTCCAAATCCTTCTGAATCCAAGTCCACTTTATTCACATTTCACAAACACGACTGTTTCCAAAGTGCTGCACAGAGATCATAAAATGGAGACAACAAAAAGATAAATTGCTAAAATTTTCATCATACCAGTCCTAACACAATAAAACCAATAAAAGCAAATAAAAGCAAAACCATAAAAATCATAAAATAGCAGTAAATAAGTAAAATCAATAAAATAAATAAAAGACAGAAAGGAGCACACAACTCACTCAGCGCAGTGTTAAAAATGAGTAGAGTAAAAGTGGGTTTTAAGACAAAAATTCAAACTCTCCTCTGTGGGGGCTGTTGGGATGTGGGGGGCAGAATGTTCCAGAGTTTGGGGCCGACCACAGAGAAGGTCCTGTCCACCTGGTTTTAAGTCTCGTCTTAGGCCCCACGAGTTGGAGCTGGCCCTCGAACCTCAGAGTACACAGGTGTAAATCTGGATGAGGTCCAAGACGTAACATGGGGCCACTCCATTCAAAGCTTTAAAAACAAACAATAAAATCTTAAAATCAACTCTAAATCGAACTGGAAGCTGGTGCAAAGACGCTAAAATTGGGGTAAGGTGCTCACGTTTTTTGGTTCCAGTTAAAAGTCGCACAGCAGAATTCTGGACCAACTGTAAGTGCAGGGAGGCTGATGCCAGAGAAAAGTGCATTACAGTCGTCTAAATGAGAGGAGATAAAAACGTGACCTGTTCAAATGATTTAAAAGAAAAAAACTGTATAATTTTATATTAAAGCCACAAATGAAAAAGCCAGATTTTACAACTCCATTCACTTTTTGTCAAATTTAAAGTCACTCATCACTCATCATTAGGATATTCACAAAGTTCCTATATTTTGCTAAATAGGCTCTTGTGAACTTTAAGTCATGTTACAAGATAAGATAATCCTTTATTGTCTCCCATGGGAGAAATTTGTCTTGGTACAGGGGGTAACATGCTGTATCAAAAAACAACACAACACAAAGCACCACATAAACAAACACACATAGAACAAAAATAGATACGAGACCATGTATGTCCTCTGGACTCGGTGCAGAAGGTGGGGGACAGGAGGGTCCTGGCTAAGGTCATCTCTATGCTGGGCCATGAGTCTCCCCCCTGCAGGACGCTCTGTCTGCTCTGGAGAGCAGCTTTAGTGACAGACTGATAAGGAGAGGTTTCACAGATCTTTCCTTCTTGCTGCTGTCACACTGTACAACAAACACTGTCAACACTGAGCATGTGCCATTCAGTTATATCCATGTGCAATTATTTTTAAGTCTATTCTTAAATTATTTTTAGGCTATTATTTATTGTCTGTTTTGTTGTATGTTGCCTTTTCCTGCTGTTCTGGAGTTGCGCATTGCAACACTGGAATTTCCCCACTGTGGGACTAATAAAGGCATATCTAATCTTACCAAGTATGAGCACGAGTGATGCACCTTTATATTATGCTTAACAGGCAAGCCCTTTGCATTCTTGTATTCTGTTAATAATTGCACATTTCCTGACCCTATGTGCAGTTTTTGATTGCACACTCCCTAAGCCTTTTACATTTATTCTGTTAACTGCACTATTTGAGTTTAGCAGATGAACGGCTAATGCCACAAAAGAATGCTTGAAACTGTTCAGTCTGCAGTTTGGGACCCTGACCTTCTACCTGACGGCATCAACTCAAACTGAGTGTGAAGAACATGGGTTGGGTCACTGATCACCTTCCTGCCGAGCTTCCTAACAGTCTCCTCAAAAATTTGCTAGGGGCCACGCCCATTATTTTACCTGCTCTTTTAGTCAAGGTAAAAATCTGTGATTTAAGTTTGACTGACAGGTTACAAAACCATGTTGTCATGCCATAACGTCAAATTGATTCCATGCATGCTTTGTAAAACATCAGCATTACATTTGTATCTACTCCATGTAACCTAAGCCGTCTTAAAAAATAGAGATGCTGGCAAATTCTTGAGCAGACAGATACATGCTTGTACAATGTTGTTACCTCCTCAAAATCATACCTGGGGTTGTGTTTTGTTTCACTCACATGTTGGAGTAACTCTTTATTATTAGTCTTTCTACATCTCTGAAGCTTAACATGTTCTGCTCCACCTTGTGATGTCATGAAGTGATAGTTCTCATGTTTACAGCCCCCTTTACCTTTTGTTTAGTAGAGATGGGTAATTCTAGGGCTGAAGATGTCCAGATGATTCTAGGGAAGGTGTATAGAGTTTAACAACACAATGGAGCACTTCCTGTATCACCACATGACATCACAAGGCGAGACAGAGTGTTTTCTGTTTGAGAGAAGAACCTAAATGTGCAGGGTTTGTGCCTTAAACAAGTGTGAATGAAACAAAACACAACTCCAGGTGTGTTTGCGATGAGGAAACTACATTAGAACCTAGATGAGTAAGAGTATACCCGGTCCCTTGTTTCCCTCTGAACACTGGAGTGAAGTGTGAGTGAGAGAGTGCACATTCCAGAGCCCTCCTCCCTCAGGGGCCCTCGCTGTAGGGACCTGCCCAACACGTCTGCTTCTGTCACTGTGTGCGCTCAGTAAGCCTGCTGCACACAACACAATGCACTGCTCCATAACTGGGACAAATAATGAAGTAGTCGTGCGCTCGTTTACATAAAGATGTACTATGTCACTCTCTTATATAAATGGACATAGCTAACCTGTAAACCGCCGTGTTCTGAGTAGGAAGTGAGCATGGGCGCGCTTACGGCTCCACCGACTCTGCTTTCAATTGACTTTACGTTGAAAAATTGTCACCGTGCTGCTGTGAGCCTCGTCATTTTGGTTTAAAATGTTCGTATTAACCCGCTCTATATGATCCAAGTGTTTTTATTTTGCTGTTTAGTTTTGTCCGTAAATTCTTAATATAGAACTCGGCTACAGATTCGCCTTAGAACTGTAGCCTCGATGAGTACGGGTGACTTCACATTCACTTAATCCAGGGGTGTCCAAACTTTTTTCAGCAAGGGCCACATCTCTAAACACAGATGAAGCAGAGGACTGATCAAGGGCTGTAGACTGGTGCTCATTACAGTGAATAATTGAAATATGTGCTGTGGGTTTAACAGATTAGAATGAGCTAAATATTAAATATGAGCTTTATTAAGGTAGGTTTTCAAAAAAACTTTTTTTTCATTGATGCAAGGTAATTGGGCCAATTCTCTTGGAAGCCTGAGGGCCAAGAAAAATTTGACTGAGGGCCACATTTGTTGCTATAGTTTGGACATGTCTGACTTAGTCCACTTTATATAGTCTATGTAGTTTTATGAATATAACGATATGTAAAAAAAACAAAAAAAACATCATACGATACAATTACTATTGTCATTTACGATATTGTAGAGGTGCTAACAGGATTGAAGAAATGTTTCTTTTACCTTTCAAAAAAGCCTTGACAAGCCTATTAGTGTCATAGTCCAAAGAATTACGATTGAAAAGTTCTTTATAACAGTTATTTCTTCATTCAAGTCAAACAAAAGATCACAGTCCATGTAGTTTCTTCCATTTTTTTTTTACTATTGCTGATATAAAACAGTGCATTTAAGCAAAGAAGAACTTGTAATTTGATATATTGTGACAGCTCACAATATTACTGTGAGATGATACGATATCATGATATTTTGGTTATTGTTGTCCCCGTGTAGTCTCGCCGTCTCCGGTGGGGGAAGAACTACTCGGTTTTGTTACTTAAATAAAAGTACAGATACCTTTAAGTACATTTTTAAACAGGTTGCTTTAATAGTTTTACTTTAGTCGATTTTTTCATGTGATTCTTTTACTTTAGTGTTTACTGTGTACTTTATACTGTGACCATACCAGTGGCGCAAGAAGGTTCCTGGTTTGATCCTCGGGTCGCCTGGGCCTTTCTGTGTGGAGTTTACATGTTTCTCCCCGTGTCTGGATGGGTTTCCTCCGGGCGCTCCGGGTTCCCCCATCAACCCAAAACATGTTGCACTGTTCTCCAGGAAGAACAGTTGATAGACAAGGTCAATTAAATACGATCAATCAATGAACCTGCCCAGGGACGACAGGTGGAAATGAACACTGGTGCTACAACCTGGTACAAGCATCTCTCCTGTTTAGGTTAATGTCCCTGTCCTGTCTCAAATAAATAAATACATAAATACGTAAATAAATAAATGAATGAATAAATAAATAAATGATTAAATAAACAAATGAATAAATAAATACATAAATAAATAAATTAACGAATAAATGAATAAGTAAATAAATAAATGAATGAATAAATACATTTTAAAATTTAATTAATGAATACATGAAAAAATGAATAAATAAATAAATGAATGATTAAATAAACAAATGAATAAATAAATGAATAAATAAATACATAAATAAATAAATTAACGAATAAATGAATAAGTAAATAAATAAATGAATGAATAAATACATAAATAAATAAATAAATAAACGAATGAATAAATACATTTAAAAAATGAATTAATTAATACATGAAAAAATGAATAAATAAATGAATAAATAAATGAATGAATAAATAATGAATAAATAAATAAATGAATGAATAAATACATACATAAATAAACAAATGAATGAATGAATGAATAAATACATAAATACATAAATAAACAAACGAATGAATGAATAAATACATAAATAAATACATAAATAAACATAAATACATAAATAAATAAATAGTCAAATCCTGATCCCGTTAGATCTCAGAAGTTCAGCAGGGTCAGGCCTGGTTAGTATTTGGATGGAGAACACTGGGAAAATCAGGTGCCACAACTCTCATGGTGTCCTTAGGCAAGACACTTCACCCAAACGCCTAGTATGAAAGTGGTGTGTGTGTGTGTGTGTGTGATGGTGGTGGTCAGATGGACCGATGACGCTGATTGGCAGCCTCGCTTCCGTATGTCTGCCCCAGGGCTACAGTAGTGTCTGGAGTGAATGAATAATGATCTGTAAAGCATCTTTGTGTTATATGTACGGAAGCCGAGAGGGGTCACAGCAAACGCAAACGCCGCAACAACACAACAAAAAGCCACAACACACCAAAAAAAGCCACAACGGAAATGACAGTGGGACTCTATTTTAATGTAAACGCCACAACACAAACGCAAATGCAGCGCAACACATTAAAAAGCCACAACACATTAAAAAGCCACAACAGAAGTGACCGCGGGACTCTATTTTCCGACGGACCAATCAAGCGGCAAGTGAAGAAGAACAACTACAGCGTGAAATGAATAATGATAAAACAATAAATTACTTTTACTTACGGTTCCAACTTCTCCGTTCCTTTACTTTTCAAGTTGTAGTTCTTCTTCATTTGCCGCTTGATTGGTCCGTCGGAAAATAGAGTCCCGCAGTCACTTCCGTTGTGGCTTTTTGATGTGTTGTGGCTTTTAAATGTGTTGCGGCATTTGCATTTGTGTTGTGGCGTTTGTATTTGTTGTAGAGTTTGCATTAAAATAGAGTCTCGCGGCCATTTCCGTTGTGGCTTTTTGTTGTGTTGTCGCGTTTGTATATGTTGCGGCTTTTGCGTTTGTTGTGGCCCCTCTCAGCTTCCGTATATATGTCTATGAAAAGTGGCATATAATATAATACACCTACTTACTTTTTGTATCTGTAATAAGTACCTGAACACTACACTCCATGTCTTCCCCGTGTCCTCTGCCGTCGGCATGTCTCGGCAGCATCCTCTTCACACTGTGTCTTCTTGTGTGCTAACCGTGCATGTATGTCCTCTGTTTTGTCTAGACGTCAGTGCCGGAGAAACACATGGTAACACTTTTTGTCGTGTTGTGTGTAGACGAGCTGTGGTGGGACACTAACATACCGCGCAACAACAGCTCGCTCACGGTGCACGGGTTCTGCATAATCACTACTAACGTTTAAGCAGATTTTTGTATGATTTACGCTGCGGAAATGAATGGATTGAGGGGTTACAGCCAAGAAACATATTTAAAAGTCCCATTTGACGCTGTTTTCTGATCTGTGTTATAATGTTTCCTCATCGCAGACATACCTGGAGTTGTGTATTTGCTCTGAGTCCTTCTCTCAAACAGAAAACACTGTGTACCACCTTGTGATGTCGTGGTAATACAGGGAAAGCTCTAATGAGTTTTTAACCTTTAAACATACATTTACGCTAGAATTATTTGGATCATTTCAGCTCTGGAATTGCCAATCTCTACTGAACTAAAGGTAAAACGTAACTGTTAACTTGAAAACTACCACTTCATGACATCACAAGGTGGAACGGAGCATTTTGAGCTATGGAGATGTAGACACACTAATAATAAAGAGTTAATCAAACATCTGACTGAAACAAAACACAACTCCAGATCTGTTTTTGATGGGGTAACTTTCTAACATAGGTCAATTTTGGCATAATTCCAGACCTTTAAATTGCATACTTGACACTTTTACTATGCACATTTGCCTGCAGTACTCGTAACTGAGTACTTTTCTAGCCATGTAACTGTACTTTTCATGCTAACCCTGTTGCTGGTGTGTTCTGCAGCCGGTAGAATCAGAGGACTTCTCCCACCTCCCTCCAGAGCAGAGGAAGAAGAAGCTCCAGGCCAAGATCGACGAGATCACCAAAGAGCTGCAGAAGGCCCAGGACAGCAGGTCTCACTCGGGTTTAGTTAGTCAGAAAGAGGCCAAAACAAATGAAATTTTTTTTTCCAATGTCATAAAAAGAAAAGAAAATGAAAGGGTCAGCTGACAGTTTACATAATTTAACCTTCTCTTGCTATTTCATTTTTAATCCAATTTTATGTTTAATCATTTAAGATATTTGAAGGCTAACTCATTTTTATAGACAAAAATACATTTAACAGGCTGCAGATTTCTGAAGGACAGTTTAGCAGTGACATAAGTTTCAGTTTTCACTAATCAGATGTAAGTAATGGTGTAAGAAGTCCAACTTACACCACTTTCATACTCGCACCTTCGGGTTGAGGGACCAGGAACACTGCTCTATCACTGAGCCACTGTCGCCACATGAGACAAAGCTCTATATCATAGGGTTTGAAAACACAGAAGCTTATGTTTTGTGTTTGTGTTGTGTGCTGGCAGTGAGGCGTTGGAGAAGATGAAGGTGGTGTATGCTAATAACCCAGGTTTAGGAGACCCCAGCAGCCTGGAGCCCAGCATCTCAGAGACTGCTCAGAAGATCGGCAAACTGCGAGGAGAGATCGCCAAGTATGAGGTACGTACATCTATGTGTGAGCATCTATAAGCATCATATAAGTCTACCTGGTGTAGTGAAGTGTACCTGCAAATTCTAATTCAAACTGTCCACTCCCCTTCTGTCTATTCCCCTACACTGTTGTGGGAATAACCACTGCAATAATATTATGGGTAATAACAATGATGCAGTCTTATAATGGTGCACATTAAGCCCTACAGCTTTACTCTGCCGACACAGTGCTGTGTTTTTATCTATCGTAAATCTTTGTAGTATCATTTATCTTAATCCTAATTTTGATAACACACTTCTCTATTTTCCTGCTTGTCTTTGTGTTGCAACACTGTAATTTCCCTATTGTGGAACAAATAAAGGTTTATCTTATCTTATCTTATCTTATTATTATTATTATTATTATTATTATTATTATTATTCACTACACCCCCTGGTGGCGGGATCCTTCTGTTGCAGCCACAGCTGTTCTGGGGCAGGCTGACAGAAGCAAAACTGCCAATCTCAACACACAGCACCACACCCACACACAGCACCCCATTACTGGCTTACACACCCTACCTTCAGTTAACACAATAAACATTTGATCTCTTTTGTGTTCCTTTGCTTTTTGGAGCTGATATTCTGTATAAACTGTTGTCTGTCTTCTGTTGTGTACAGACGTGGCTCTTAGAGGCGATGGGAGGAGAGGATTCCTCCAGCCCGGACAGCCACCAGCACAAGTGAGCCTCTTTCTTTCTGCTGCAGATTTTCACATAGAGTAAAATGAACAGACGTGTTGTTTACTGGTGTGACAGTGTCAGAGTAATCTCTGAGCACAAAGCTCATAGTAACAGTAGTGTGCTTTGTGTGCCCCACAGTGTGAACACAGATCACTTACCTGAGCCTCCAGAGTTCCCTGACCCCCCGGAGGAGAGCACGCCTACAGTGGGCCTCTACACGGACTTCTCTGAGTTTGACGACGTGTGTGGACAGTACACTGTGCTCTACGCCTTTGAAGGTAACACTCTCACACTGACACTGTCCTGGGGACAAAAGACCTGATGACCTTTTTCATTTGGAGCCTTTGGTCGGGTCAAAAATCCAGTGACCTTCAGGACTCCAAAGTGCTTTAAAGAGCACTACTGAGTCACTCCACCCTCACTGGTGACATGATACTACTGTAGCCACAGCTGCCCTGGGGCAGACTGACAGAAGTGACTCACTCACATACAATATTTGTACCAAGCAATGTGGATGAAGTGTCTTGCTCAAGGACACAGAGTTTGCACTAGAGTCACTGCTGCCCCCCTGTGGCACCTGGTATTCTCCATGGTCTCCCATCTAAGGACTAACCGGTCGTGACTGCCTGTTGTTACAATGTGATGTAATGCCAAAAGACACAACAACAGTCAGTCTCATGTGTTCATTTTGGACAGAGTGATGTTTTTTTGTTCTTTTATACTGACTGAAGCCTATTGTGTGGTCCATACTTCAACATGTTAAGAGCTTCTCTTTATGCGTGTTAAGGCAAAGACGAGGGCACTCTGTCCATCAGCCCCGGAGAGCAGCTCAGCGCCATCGAGGAAGACCAGGGAGACGGCTGGATGAGAGTGGTGAAGGCCAACGGAGAGGAGGGATACATACCATCATCCTATGTCCAACCGCTATAACGTCTTCTGTCCAGTGTCCTCTGTCCAGTGTCGTCTGTCCAGCCCATAGACTGTATATAGAAATGGACATAGTTAACCTGCTAGCCGCTTTATTCACTTTACTTTGAAAAATTCCTCCCTCTCTCTGTATCTGCTGCAGTGAGCCTCCTCATTTTGGTTTTAAAATGTCCATTCACTACATGATCCTGGTGTTTTTATTTTGCTATTTTGTCCCTAAATCAATTCCTATTCCTAATATTTGACCCCATATTCACTCCTAGCCTCGTGAGCTTCATTTGACTGGAGCTGAACACTGTGGTTGACGTCACACTCACTTTGTCCACTTTTTTATACAGTCTATGGTCTAAACACTATAACGTCCACTGTCCTCTGTCCAACCACTATAACGTTCAAGCAGACCCCTCATCACATAATAATCAAAACACACTGTAATTCTTAAATAACAGCATTCAAATTCAAACATACAATTGAAATCTATACTGCAAAAATATAACTCACTTTTATTTTGTCACACAGCCAAAGGAAACTATTACATTTCTTAAAATTATGATATAAATATTATAATTTGTGTGTGACTAAAAGTGAACAATTTTAAAATTTAATATAGAGTCAGAACAAAACAGTTTTCTCTATTTTGCATTGCCAGTTTGGGATGCCAAGAGAAAAACTTGTATGTATCCCCTTTTAAACAGGTTTAGGCAATAGGCTCTATTCACTTCCGGTGTATTTCCCGACACTGGGCATGTGATAAAAGCATGGATTCAGCAGCAGCATCTTCACAACCTGCCAAAGCTTTCCATGAGGGACATGACTCTAATCACAGCTTCATGTCACTCACAGGTCCTGTATTTTGTGCTTTACTAAAGTCGTACTAAGACACCCAATAAATTCAGGCTTTTAATTGCACCCTATAGTGCAGAAAATACGGTAGTTGGTTGGAAGTGTTGATCCGCTGAACATAACAGAATGCTACAATGACATCTTTTTGTTTATGAAGTTAGACAAATTATAATACACAAATGAATAAATCGTTTATAAAAGGGAAAAAGAAAGAAAACAATGACATGTAGATGAAGAAAGCCAGTCTATTTTCTCAGTTTCCTCAGTTTTACTTTCACCAACAGAGCCCAAAGGAGGTCGTCATCCTCATGTTTCCAAACGTCTTGTGGTTTTGAGACGTAAGTGTGAACAGAGCCCACAAGATTCAGTTTGATTTGCGACACATCGCACAGGCTCCATACAGTTTTAGTGTTTATAACAAAACTCTCTCATGACAAATGTTATTCTGGTGGATTTCCCCAGCTTTGCCTTTGTTGCAGCACAGATTGGATTGAAATCGGAGAACACTGCGCTAAAGTTCTCTTGTTTATCGTGTGGTATCTGGTGGTGCTTGTTTGTGTGAGAAGTGCCGGGTTAGATTCCCCTCCCAAAGCTCATACAGCGCACTCTGAATGTACATCAAAACGCTGTTGGAAATATGAACTCCTCTTTACACGCAGGACCTATGTGTTTTTCCACACTATAATGTGACAAAATATGTGATTTTGTTCTTTTTTTTTTAAACTGGATTAAAACCACTATCTTGTATACAGTGCACAGAGTATAACATTCCTATATGACTGTCGCCGTGGTGCAGTCAAACCTATGCATATCGAAATATTGTAAATGTATAAAGACTATAAAGGTGCGACATCACTAGATTTAAAGAACATAAGCACAGTCTGAACACTCACTGGAAAAACCTGTCGTGCCCTTGGCTAATATTTACCCATCAATAAACTGTTTTAGAATGAAAATGTCATGTGTTATGTTTACAATGTGTTTTTCTCCATGACAGCTGGAATTTTTAAAGGAAAATTTTACTTTTTAATACATTTTTTACAACAACATATTGCTCTAAACACGGCTGGTTTTATTAGCAAAGGGCACTGCACATGTAGCCAGATTTTTCATAAAATTGTGAAAACTCGAGGCCAAATTTCAGTTTTGGCTTTCCAACTAAAATTATGCAATTTTACTAATGTCATAATGAAAAATAATGGAATAGACGCATCAAGAATCTCAGACGTCCGGTCATCACACAATTCATACTGGGAAGGATTTTCCGAAAAAGTGAGCATCAAACCTCCATGTTTGTTTTCCCAGTGGGATGTGTCTATTGACAAAGTCAATCTTTTCAAGTCTTTTGAACCATATCACTTTTGTTTCTGGTTCTGATATTGTCATGTTTTAGTTTTGGGATTTGGACATCGTTAATTGTGTGGTTGTTGTTTCTTAACAACAGAAAATGGATCGAGAAATTTGTTTGTGAACTCCATAAATGCAAAAGTGAATCAGAGGTGTGTGACTGCAAACCTCTGTTCAAACTGTTTCTCTTCCCAACGGAACGAAAAATAGTGAAAGGTGAAGGTGATGGGCTGGATTGATCCACAGGAAGAACCAAAAAGGAAACCTTTGACTGACTAAATCATCCTGAGTTTGCAGCGAACATTTTGTATGTGGAGCAACATCAAAGCAGGATCCCATTTGTTAAGTGAGAGGTTCAGAAGACAAACAGACTGAGCTGCACTTTCTTGTTCTTGTGGTTTTACAGCAACATCACGTCTTGGTCTCTTTGCAGTGGAAGTTGTTTCTTGGTGAACAGTTGGTGCCTTTTGCTTTGGTGTTGACTTTTTAAATTCGTAACCGAGGTGGAGCGAGGGGTCGGGATTTTGCTTTGATGTTGCTCCACATACAAAATGTTCACTGCAAACTCAGGATGATTTAGTCAGTCAAAGGTTTCCTTTTTGGTCCTTCCTGTGGATCAATCCTGCCCATCGCCTTTGCCTTTCACTACTTTTCAGTTCTGTTGGGAAGAGAAACAGTTTGAACAGAGGTTTACAGTCACACACATCTGATTCACTTTTGCATTTATGGAGTTCTCGAGCCGTTTTCCTCCACACAATTACAATGTCCCAATCCCAAAACTAAAATATGACAATATCAGAACCAGAAACAAAAGTGATATGGTTCAAAATACTTGAAAAGACTGGAATCCCAATAGACTCGTCTCACTGGGAAATCAAACGTGGCAGTTTGATGCTCACTTTTTCGGAAAATCCTTCCCAGTATGAATTGCGCGATGACTGGAAGTCCGAGATTCTTGATGCGTTCATTAAAGGTGCACAATGTAACTTTCCTGGTGGATGGTCTGCTGCCTGCTTGTCTCCAGGGAGATGTTTTTGCTTTGCCTGGAATGTTCCACAATATGGCATTAAAATGATCTATCTGGGATCCATTTCTATGTATGTTTTTTTATTACTTCCTCGAAAAATATTCATCATAAACTTTTCTAATGGAAGGACCTGCCACCTGCTTGCCTCTGTAGTGATGTTATTGTTGTGACCAGAATGTTCCACAGTATGGCATTTGAATCTGTCAAACTATTCTTTCAACACTTCTGTTTTTATTGGACAAAATACCATGAAATATGCAATCTTACTGTGAGCACGCTTGCCTCTCCATAGAGCTGAACTGTAACCCTCTTGTCTCTATGTACTTATTACTTTAAAGGAATATTTTAGAACATTTTAGGTAAAACAATAAAGAACAAATCATATTCTCTTGAAAAGTTACACAGTGCGTCTTTACTGTGAGCGGCGTCGCCTCTCCACAGATGTGACCTGTAACTTGGTTCGGTGGTGTGAGATAAATGCCATACTGTGGAACATTCCAGTCAAAGCAATTACAGTCATGCCCAAAATTATTCATACCCCTGACAAATTTTGACTTAAAGTTATTTTTATTCAACCAGCAAGTTTTTTCATGACTGGAAATGACACAGGCGTCTCCCAGAAGATAATAAGATGATGTATGTATGTATGTATGTATGCATGTATGTATGTATGTATGTATGTATGTGTGTATGTATGTATGTATGTATGTGTGTGTATGTATGTATGTATGTTGTATGTATGTGTTGTATGTATGTGTGTATGTATGTATGTGTGTATGTATGTGTGTATGTATGTTTGTATGTATGTATGTGTTGTATGTTTGTATGTATGTGTGTATGTATGTATGTTTCTATGTATGTATGTATGTTATATGTATGTATGTATGTGTTGTATGTATGTATGTATGTATGTATGTGTTGTATGTATGTATGTGTGTATGTATGTATGTTTGTATGTATGTGTATGTATGTTTGTATGTGTGTGTGTATGTATGTATGTATGTATGTATGTATGTATGTAAGAGGCATCATTGTGGAAAAAAATATTTCTTAGCTTTTATTTATATCTGAACGAAAAGTGGCATGTCCAGAATTATTCATACCCTTCTCACTGTCCTCCTGGCCGGCACAGGTGTCACTTTTGGCTTCCGACCACGTCCTCTGAGATTTTCCACAGTGTAGAACGTCTTGTATTTTTTAATAATACTTTGCACTATCGCCACTGGAACTTGAAAACATTTCGATATGTTCTTATAGCCCTTTCCTGACTTGTGAGCAGCCACAATACACAGCAGCAGATCTTCAGAGAGCTCCGTTGTCTTAACCATGACTGTTCACAAACCAACTGCTGCTGACCTGCTGTTTTTCACCTGTTCACTTGCTTAAAACAGCTCTTCCCAATGAATCACGGGAATTAGAAAGTTTTAGAACAGCTTCTGCTGTTTGGAATGGTATAGAACAGGGGTGTACAAACTTTTTTCATCAAGGGCCACATATGTAAACACAGACAAAGCAGAGGGCCGATCAAGGGCCGTAGACTGATGCTCAATACAGTGAATAATTGAAATATGTGCATGTTTAACATATTAGAATGAGCCATCAGTCTTTATTCATGCTAAAATCCTCCAAACTACACACTAAATATTAAATATGAGCTTTATCAAGGTAGATTTTCAGGGCCAAGAAAAAAATGGCTGAGCATTTGGTTCATGGGCCATAGTTTGGACATGCCTGGTATAGAACTTTGGATTTGTCCATAGATTCTGACAGTTTACAAAGGGTATGAATAATTCTGGACATGCCACTTTTTGTTCAAATGTAAATAAAAGCTGAGAAATATTTTTGTCCACAATGATGCCTCTTGTATCATCTTATTATCTTCTGGGAGACGCCTGTGTCATTTCCAATCAAAAAAAAACTTCCTGGTTGAATAAAAATAACTTTAAGTCAAAATTTGTCAGGCGTATGAATAATTTTGGGCTTGACTCACTGTATGTTATAATGTTGTTTCCTCATCACAGAAAACACTCCAAAATGCTCCACTATGTTTCTAAACTCCACACTGTCACTAGAATCATTTGGATCATTTCAGCCCTGGAGTTGCCAGTTTTAACTTGAAAACCTCCACTACATGACATCACAAGGTGGAACAGAGTGTTTTCGGCTTTGAAGATGTAGACAGACTAATAATGCAGGATTCCTTAAACATGTGAATGAAACAAAACACAAGTCCAGGTTTGTTTTTGAGGAGGTAACAACATTAAAACACGACTTAACGCTCACAAGAGTCAATGTTGTGTCATATTGAACTTTTTAAATTGGTGATTGGTGATATTTTTGAAAACTTCTAAACCTTTTGTTCAATTTTTGTCAGAGAAAACTGCATTTTTATAATACAAGAGTGTTAGTGATGTCTCCTTGGCTGTTATGTATCTTATTACACTATTGTATATGACATTTATAAAGTTATTAAGTACAAATGAAATACGTGTTTGTGTGTTTTATGAATGAAAACCTCGATACAAACAAGTGTACAAAATAGAATCACATTTATTAAAGACTAAAAGGCACTCTTGGGTTTTTCACAGCAGTAGTTCAGCAATGAGAGGATTAGGCTTGAAAATAAAACGTAAAAAAATATACATTAAAGTAATAATACGTTCGGGTAAACCTGGTAAACATTTTTAAACAGGAATGTGCAGCCGGGCGTCTGTTTGTCGTTGTCTAAAAATGCAGTCAAAGTCCAGTAGAGCACAGAACAGGTGTGGTTGGTACACAAAGATAAGACGCAAGACAGTAAAAAAACAAAAGGTACATTGAAAAAATAACCAAAGAAAACAATGAAAGGTGCATATGACAGGTTTTCATGTTTCTAATTCGGACTTGGTTTGTACCTTTATCATAGTTTTACATTAGTGAAGTGAGTTTGTGGGAAAAAGAAGTTGAAAAGAAAAGATAATAAAATAATAATAATAGAGAAAGTAGCGTTGAGTTTATAAACAGAATCTCTCCGTCTATGTGATCAACACGGAAAACTCCATCCAAAATGCAGAGACAATTTACACACAATGAAAGAGTTTTTCTGACCGTTTACATCAGGGGTGTCAAACTCATTTTGGTCCGGGGGCCGTATCCAACCTACTTTGATCCCAAAGGGGCCGAATCAGAAAACTCATGTCATATAAACCCCAAAAATAACAATAAGTTCAAATATTTGTGCAGAGAAACACAAATCTATTACAGAAATCTTTTTTAATCGATGAACTCTTTCTTTTACAAAATATTATAATATAAACAACCTGAAACTTTAAGAAAAATACAATTTCAACACAGTATTTTAACATGAACTTGTTTGCAAATAGGAATAAGTCCATTTTTCTTGGAAAATCCTGCACTCGGCTCCACTTTTCTCATTTTGGACATTTTGTTGATGAGGGTGTCACGGTCAACAGTCAAAACGATCGTCCTTTAAGAGCGTTTGGAAAGAGACAAGTCTTCATTTGTGCTGCTCTGGTGGGAGGGGCCACGTACAGAGACGCTGGAGACGCTGCTGTGATAAACACCACAGAAAATTAACGAGATTTTAATAGAAAATATAATTAAAATATTTTAGTATAAAATCAGCCAAGGGCCAGATTAAAGGTCTTGGAGGGCCGGATCTGGCCCCCAGGCCGTATGTTTGACACCCCTGGTCTAAACCATTTAACTAAATAAAGCTGTTGTCATGATTATTATTATTATTAGTCTAATCACTATTGAGTAATTTAGACACGTTTTGACCCTTGTTAATGTTATGATCTACACTTAAACTAAACAAAAAAAAAAAATTTAAATGACCGTATTTTCCGGGCTATTAGTCGCTCTGAATTATAAGGCACACTGTCATTAAATGGTCTATTTTTGAACTTTTTTCACAAATAAACCGCACCAGACTTTAAAGGAAACACAACAGTGTGATGGGTGAGTGGTTTTGTTTGTTTGTGGCGTTCACGGTGACTCTGGGCTGTGTTCAGTTGTGGCGTGTAGGGAGGTGCTGTCTGGATTGTCGGCATGTTTGCAGTGACTCAGTTGTGTCTAGAAGTGGCACATTGCACTCGCTTTTTCGGTTCGTTCCTCCGTTCAGTTCCTTGTCGGTGTGGAGTGATGAGTGTGTCTGTGGGTGTTTTTTGTGTTACTGAAGTCGTGCTGGGACACCCGAGTGGATTCGTGTATAGGATGCTTTGGCTCTGGATTGTTTTATGATGGGGTTGGAGGCTTAAGAGCGCGTCTAATAGTCCAGAAAATATGGTAATGATGTAACATATATCTTAGTGAATGAAATGAGTAGTCAAACCTGTCATATGCACTTTAAGAAATATGTAAGAAGAACTTTAAAGAATTGTAAACAAAAACATTCTAAATTCCAAAATGGAGGCAGCTGGAGTTAGAAGTGAAGCAGTGAAACAGAATTTGATTTCAATGAAGCTCAGAATATCACAGAATATGAAACATCTCTGTGGGCTGCTGTGATCAGAGCCTCGTTTAAACATATTTACAGCTCTGTTTAAGGGATTTGTTTAATTTTTTTAAATTTATAATTTATGATTTTATGAATGATTTTTAGGTTTTACTGGACAAATATTTGTGTTGTGAAATGCTGACATACATTGTCTCTGTATCTACACAACAGTAGTGTGCAGTGACTTTTATGGAGAGGCCAGCAGACTTGGGGTGGACATCAACATTTAGTTGGTAACAATTTAATAATGCTACTTCTTATACATACTACTTATTTTTACTTACATTAATTGCATGTATACTGAGCCATTTTGGAGTCAAACTAGAGAAGTCTAGAATAGACCGTATCATGTATTAGACTGAATTTAACACCATCTTTGTACAAACAGGGCTCTTTGGGTCTACTACACCTTATTTATCCAGCTAGTACAATTATTTATTATTATCTGTGTAAATAGTATTAAGTATCTAGAAATTATATGACATATGACAGCTGTCCACATGTGTAATGTTTTTACTACACAAAATGTTCATTCTAACAACAACAGTGCACTGGTCAGACAGGTGCACTTAGAACAGAACAGCTCGATGTGTCACAAACGCAACATTAAACACAGCGCGGTGTTAGAACAGTGCGGCTGTTGAAGGGAAAACAGGATTACTTAGATATAATTCAAAACACGCAATGATTTTAGATTTTACTGGGCAGGCACTGCTTGCCTCGATTGCCCTGACCGCACGCCCCTGCTCCACAGACATGTTACACATTTCACATTTCACTTCACAGAACATTTTTGTGAAGCTCAAGCTTTGATGCCTGAAAATACGCCTGTCTTCTTTCAATCCTTATTAACAGAAAAGCAAACTAAGTGACATTTCTGCCCTGGGAATACAAAATAGTTGTTTATTCTTTTGTTATGATTAGGGTTGGGCATTCGAGGAAATTTTCTTAATCGATCGTCGGAAGAATTAACGATCGATTATCGATTAATCATTAACGTTATATTAAAATGATCATCATTATTATTACTAGCTGCACTACTAATCTGCATAAATAAATTCAACTTTACGACATATAAACCGTAACGACTCTAGAGCCACATCAGCCCGTTTGACATTATAATGTGTTTAATTCAGTTTTGCGCAACTCTCACAGAAACGAAACTTAAAACCACATCGCTAATTTGCATAAACTCAGCAAAGATAAAACTACAGCTCTTGTGTCACTGATGCAGTTCAATTTCTGTTGGATTAAAAGACATGATTCAGGTGAATACAGGTCAATGTGACCAGATTTGCGTTTGTCAAAACCAGGACACTGTACGGGGGGAGGGAGGTGGGGACTCGTCATCCACATTGCGCGACTCTCACCTGGTAAAACTTTTTCCCACTGGACACAGAAACATATGTTCCTGCTTTGTACACTGTGTACATGGACTCACACTTGTCCCGAACGCAACGGAAAGCGTGGAATTTCTTGTACAAGTCATCGTTAAATACACATTTGTGCTTCGGTACGTTGCAGACTGACCGACCGTTTGTGTTTGCTCGCTCCTTCTGAGTGCAGAGAGACACATGTACAGACCTGTTTGGTCACGATACACACAGCAACCTACATTCGGTTTGTCGATTAAAATTAACGTAATCGATGAAATTCTTAATGATCAATTATCGATTAATCATGCTCATCCCTAGTTATGATGTCTTAAAACCATTAACATTTCGTTCAGATGTCAGTTTATCATTGAAAACATATTCTATCTCAAGATCTGCTTCATTTACCTCCAGTCGCCTCCATTTTGAACATTCTATTCTGATCACGTTGCGTTTTGGTCCATGTATCATTCGTTCTATTGAATTTCAATTAAGAATGACAAACAATAAAATGGGAAAACAGTTTGTGATTTCATTATTATTTTAGTGTCAAACAAAAAACACATTTCGGCCTCTATTTCCAATATTTAATTTAAAGTTTAATTCAAATAACACCAATCAAAAAACAGTCTCGGTGCATATTTTAACTTTGATATGTTATTCTCTTTGGTTTATGCCCCAGAAGTTGTGCTGCTGAAGGACTTACCTGAAAAATCATCGCAATTTTGTGGACAATCATGTCATCTTCTTTTAAAGCGACACATTTACTTTTGCATCTTAGGCTACTTCAGACTGCAGGGCTTAATGCTCAATTCCGATTTTTTTATGAAATCCGATGTTTTTGCGAGGTCGTTCACATTTCCAATTAAATGTGACTTGTATGTGACTCCAGTGTGTCAACATTAAACGGCCCAAAAGTGTCCCAGTGTCAACCGCAGCGAGCGTGCTCTGTGTTTACAGAAGTTGTCCAAACATGGATGCAGCATTGAGCACCTGGAGATTTTAAAGTTCCTCTCGTAACGGAGCCAGAACATGAACAACTTACTTGTTTTAAGGAAGAGATTGAGAAGGAGAAGGACGAGGTTTTTGGTCGTGGTGTTTTGTGGGACAGTTCGTTGAAAGGAACGTGTGGATGTGGAGACGGAGCCAAGAGTGGTGAGTGGTGATGTGCTTCACTTCAGTGACACGGAGTTCATTAACAATTTGTGCCTACTTCAGCGCAGAATAGTGACGTTTGTGTCTTGTTGATAACGTGTAGGTGGATGAATGCACTTTGGCCGTTCAGACTGAAGTCGCATGTCAAAAGATCAGATATGTATCGGTTTCAGGAGCACATATCCAAGTGTCCTGGGTCACATTGGAAAAAATCAGATCTGTGTGGTTCAGACTGTCATTAAAAGATCAGATACAGGTCACATAGAAGCCAAAAAATTGGATTTGGGTCACTTCAGGCTGCAGTGAGAACACAGCCTTAGAAAGTCATTGTTGAACTCCATGAAGGTGCACTAAGCAGCATAATTTCAAATAAACCAGAGTGAATAAAATATCAGAACTGAAATAGGCATCAAGACTAACTGACTTGATTGGTGTTATTTGAAATAAACTTTAAATTAAATATTGAAAATAGAGGTCGAAACTGTTTTCCCATTTTAGAGTTTTTTGTTCTTCATTGAAATTCCAAAAAACGAGTGGGTCTATCAAAGGGTCTATACAGATTATTTCCACTTAACAAACATTGCACTAAAATAAAGTGTCTGTTGACGGTGAAGTCAGAGCTCTGTTCAAACAGGGTCCCGTCTTTCACCGCGTACAAAGAGGCCCTCAGGCTCGCAGGGTGCTCCGGGTCTCAGATGACGTCACAACCTTCTATCGGCCAATCAGAGTTCATACAGACGAGACGGGGGACAGGTAAAAAGAATATTGTTAAAACTTGAGATTTTGTCACTGATTTAAAGGATTTTGTGAGGACCTTTCTCCTTTCAGAATCTCATATTCAAATCAGGAGGGAATTTTTAACCTGAAACTGACGCTAATTGTTCTCAGTTAAAAGGACCACGAGATTAAAATGACAAGTTTGTGGAGCCGATCCCAAACAAATAATGAAAAGGTTCAACAGAAATTTGGGTATTTCTTTAAAAACAGTGAATCTCCGGCAGATTTATACAGGTCCCTGCCTCCATCTTTTTAATTTTTAGATTTTTATCTTAAAAAAACATAGACTATTCTATGTAGTATTCAAAAGTACTAGATTGTAACCAGGCCCGTTGACAGAAATATGAGGGCCCGGGGCAAAAAGCCTTACACGGGCCCCCTCTGATACAAAGGAATAGGAAGAGGGTTCAAATCTGGGCTCCAAAAACCCTGGGGACCCTTTGTGATTGTGACCCTTGTGCAGACCGACACCTGGTACCAACTGTTCACCCGTCCACACGCTCTCGCTCATCCACCGTCACATACACACAGGCCGGTGAAGTGTCTTGCCCGAGGACACGACAGCAGCATGAGCGGCGAGTCCATGTCAGTCGTGGTCGGTCGGGTCGCCCTCTGACGGCTGCTCCACGGGTTCCAGTTTGTCGGAGAGCACGCACAGGATCTTGTTGAACTTGTCGTAGCGCTCGGTCCTGTCGGCGGCGGCTCCGGAGTGGCCCCAGAGCAGGCGCAGGGCAAACTCTGTGCGGAAGGCCTCCAGCAGCTCGGGCACTGGCTCCCAGCCTGACAGAGGAGGGGGTACAATAAACGTATAAAGATATCAATAAATGTTTAAATACTGTATTACCAGTTACAGTTGTTCTAAATGTTTTTAAAGGTCCCATATTACACCACATGTTTAACACACAAACCCTGCACATTTAGGCTGAGTTCTTCACTCAAACTGAAAACAGAAAACTCTGTAACACCTCATGTAGTAATACAGGAAGTGCTCTACTTTTTAAACTTCATACACCTTCACTCGAATCATTTGGATCATTTCAGCCCTGGAATTGACTATCTTTACAAAACAAAAGGTAAAAGGAGCTGTTAATGTGACATCACAAGCTGGAACAGAGCATTTTGAGATTTTGAGATACAGAATTATGCAGAATTATTCACAAAAAACACAACTCCAGGTGTGTTTTTGAGGAGGTTATAACGTGACTTAAAAATCACAGTTCTGTGTAATAAAACCTTTGAATACACTTTTAACCAAATAAAGGCTGGAATATGGTAAATGAAGGCTTATAGGCAGCGAGCATTGACAAATGAAGTGTTTTGATGTTTGAAATGAGAAATTGTTTATTCTTTTTGGAAATTTTGAATTGAATTGAATTGAAATGAACAAATATTTGATTGCAATGAACCGATGCACTCCAAGGGCCAAATGAAGGATGACGTCATAGGTTAATAACATTTTCACTAGAAAGTTGGGTTGGAATTTTTCACAAAAATCTGGACCACATGTCTACACTATCTGTTCCCTAACTAGAAAATGTTGTTGTGGAGAAAATATACATGGGCTGAAATGTTATGATGTACAATGTAATGTATCTAGCCCACAATAACTGTAATTAATTAAATCATTAATTTTAATTCATTTTGAAAGCTTTAAACCATTCAAAAGGGAGGGTACTTTGTTTTAAATTGTTAGTTCCTAATTTTCTGAACCTATGGATAACACATCAAAACAAAACAAAAAATAAATAAATTGGCTAGACAAATTTGTCAAAATGAGTTTGTAAATTAAATTTTAAAAATGAATACAATAGAGTGGAAATAATCTTTTATACATGACACAATGACAAGGACAGAGTCACTATGAGGTCATCAGGTCAGCAGTTGCTTTTAGGGTCTTCCACCAAAATATATCCATGTCTGTACACTTCAGCTGGGTTAGGATGTGTGTGTGCTGGGACCAGTGAGTACGGAATGTGATAAAATATCAAGAATAACAAATATTGTTATCATTAGTTGTTTGAGCAGTTGTATGAGTATACTGTATACTGTGGGTATTGTGTGCTGTATTGAATAGTACTGACCCGGTGCTGCCCAGTCGTACCTGTGAGCAGTGTGTGTGCGTGCTGCTGGTAGTCGCTAGCGTGGAGGGCGGAGCTGCGAGCTGATTGGAGGAGGTCGTACAGGGTCTGACAGCCGTGCTCGCTGTTCTCCACGGGGTCCTCGCCCTCCATGGCCATGAGCAGAGGGACGAGGTGAGGCACTGCGATGGGACCGTCCAACACTGAGTCTACAAGGCACGCACACCAGGCACGTCAATACCATCAAGGTTTAACTATTATAATTTCCTGATTAGGTTTTTATTATTTTTAGATCATATTTAAATGTTATACTGTTGTAATAGAAATCAAGGGGTAAACTACAAAGCTGGAAGTGAGCTGCTTTCTCAAAGTGTTACTCTCAGCTCACAGATAATAATGAGTGTCATGAAGCCGGGTTAGCAGCACAACTTGTAAAGCCTGAGCTCACGGGGAAAGGTGCACACAGACACGCCCCTTTCCCTCACAAGAAACTTTTTGCTCATGTAGATGTTATTGCTTTGTTAGGGTTAGGTTGTTATGGCATTACACATCTTATAATTTATTTGTGTTGCTAAATGAAAAACAAGCATCTCTGTTTAGCTGGATAAGTTGAATGCCAAACTGTGGAACATTCCAGGCAAAGCAATAACATCTCAGTTCAGACAAGCAGATGATGAAAAGTTCCATAGTGGTCCTTTAAAGCAGCAGCACTGACCGTCCCCGTCGCTGAGTGCGCTCATGAAGGGCTTGAGTTTCTTCTCATAGAGCACTGCAGTGTCGGTGTGGTTCCTCCGGAGGGCTCTCCACGTCATCTCCAAACGCATGATCTGCTCACACATACACAGCAAAACGTCAGCACTAAAGGAGGCCTGTGTCCCAAAACACTTTTTAACAAGTCTAACCCAGGCTGACATAAGAGACAAAAACGCTTTACAAACTAGAATTCAACAAAGATTATACCAGTTCTAAACCAGGATGACCAGCAAGATCAGAAATAAACACTAAACCAAGTACAACTATGCTGTTTGGAAGCCCTGCTGCTGTCTCGTACCCAAAGACTGTATAAAGAAGAGGACTAAGGGAGTGTAACGTCGCTCATAGCAACAAGATAAGGCCAAAATGATGACCCTAACAGCAGCAGTTACAGAGAGAAGGGTGGCGTTTTTTCAACAGAAGTGAACTGGAACCAAAGTCGATGGAGTGCCCGTGCTCACTTTCTGTTTAGGATGCGGCAGCTCAGTGGGTTAGCTGTGTTCGTTTATATACCTGAGGCATCTCCAGGGCCTTCATGACCGCAGAGAAGGCGAAGAGGTCGTGGGCGTGCTCCTTTAGAGCCTGGGCCAGTGTGATAAATTTATGTAAGACTGTTGCTCTCTGGCTCACGGTGCTGGTGCAGCCCAGGACATCCACGGCCATGCCCAGAACGATCAGATGGTGCCTGCGCCAGGACACACACAGGACAGGAGAGGAGAGTTGAAAATGATCATCAAGTCAAGTCAAGTTATAGAAAAAAAAATAGCTTAGCAAAATAAAAGCTAATAACTATCTCTGTGGTAAAAAAAACAAACAAAAAAAAACAACACGTATAAAACGGTATTTGGTGACATCACACAGCACTGCCCTGATGACAGCCCAGTGTCTCTGATTCTGCAGGAGGTAAGTTTCAAATGAGGATACCTGTTAGATTAGACCATTCACACTATTCCTCATGTGTACAGACCCCGTCCCTCCGCCCCCCTCACTCTTGAAATGTGGTTTTGGGCAGAGTTTAGGTGTTTAGTCTTAGTGTGACCAGACATCCCTGTTTACCCGGGACAGTCCCAGTTTTGAGCCTTTGTCTCCTGTCCCAGCAGATTTATACAAAACCAGTCATTTGTAACAGTTTCGTACAAGAAATGTCCCAAGTGTTCCTATTTTTGACCAATTTGATCCCTGCCAACAGTGAAGAGAGACATAAACTGTCATTTGTTTAGGTAAAAGCTGCTTAAAAATGACCAAAACACATAGAAAATGTGACTATACTGACTCACATTAGTGCCGAGTGCGTAACAATTTTCCTTCTTTATGCACTTGTTTCATAATTTTTGTTATTACCAACCACCCCACACCAGTGATGTCCCAGTTTTTCATTTTTGCTTAACAGACAGATGCATTAATGCTCAGGAGTCTGCTGAGAGTGTGTTGGTGCATTAAAACAGGAGTGGGCTGGTTTCAAATGCTTCTGTACGGAGGTGAAACTGACCACACAACTTTACTAAACATACTACTAATTTAACTATGTTTATGGTCATGAAGGTCCATATATCTACTTATTGTACTCTGGGCACAAAACAAAGTTAAAATGAGCATTGTAGTGAGCAGCAGAGCACCTCTCTAACAGGTCCTGTCGTAGCTGGTGTCCGTGTGGCAGTGTGACCAGCTCCAGCCCTGAGGCCACGCCCATCTGCCTCCTCTGCTCCTCAGTCACCCCGATAATCCGAGCGACCTGCAAAAGGATTCAAAAATCTGAGAATGTCCATGTCACATATTAAGAGAGTTTCCTCAAGCCTATAAAGCCTAAAGTATCACTATCAGTTTGTACCTGGCAGTCCTCTCTGTGTGTATGCACATGCTTAGTGTTAGAGTCACATCTTTTGGAATGACATCTTTTTGTTTGTGAATAAAAATCTTGATACAAAACTACAATTTAATGTAAAAAATGTCCTTTTTGGTGTCTTTGTGAAATATATTCCTGTAAAATATATATATATATATGTCTTGAACTTAACTCTAATCCTATCAAAATTTCATATCCATTTCTGTAAAATGTTATAGTCAGAAACCCAAATTTGTTCTATTTTAGTCCCTCTTGTCCTCTCATGTAAATTCTCAGAATTATTGCACACATCCCCAAAGCCATGAAAACAAAAGCACTTTGTATGCAATTTGAAATATAGAATATAAATGTATTTATTATTTTTCTACATTTGTATAATGCATAATGCAGATATTGCACATGCTGAGCCCTGTGAAAATGAATTCTTGAGAGAGTGCCTATGTTCCCTCAGCCCTGTGTTCCCTCAGCCCTGTGTTCCCACAGCCCTGTGTTCCCTCACTTCTATTTTTTTCCCCCCAAAATTAGGCCCTATGTTCCTTTATCATAAATTTGCATCAGAATTTACCCCCATTTCTCCCAACTTTTTTTCTCCCAGTGGTCATCAGTTACACCCAACCTATTCTCCAGCAGCAGTTGACTACAGATGTAATGTAGAGGTCATAGTACAAAGGGCCCTAGGTTGAAATTACTCTGAATCATCCCTTTGAATGTGGTATAAAAATAAAAAAATACTTGACTGAGCACTGTACCTGACAGTCCACTCCGAGCATGTGCAGAGCTGTGGTGTTAGTGTTGTACAGGTGTGTTAGTGTAGTCGTGTACCTGACAGTCCACTCTGAGCATGTGCAGAGCTGTGGTGTTAGTGTTGTACAGGTGTGTTAGTGTAGTCGTGTACCTGACAGTCCACTCTGAGCATGTGCAGAGCTGTGGTGTTAGCGTCGTAGCGGTTGAACACTTCTTTCACAGACATGAGGACTGTGGGGTCCAGAGGTCTGTTGTTCTCAGGCAGTAGTGTGGAGTGGAACTTCTCCAGCTGGAAACAAGAGCTGCTCTCCACCTGGACAAACACAAGCAAAATGTGAATCACTGCTACGGCTAAAATGACTTAAGTTCAAGTCATTATTCTAAATACAAACTGTAATATGTGTAAATATTCTGATTCTACAGAGTGTACAGTCATACATGCAGGGTGGAGTTTAATCATCAATTCTCCAGTTGTAGACTCCTTTACACTGTATGGCTACATAACTCTGTATAATCACTTAAGCATTAAAGTGACCAGATCAAAACTGAAGACTGGGACGGTTGATATAAATAAAAATGTGAAAAGAGCATGTTACATTGTGCATTCTAGTGTCAGTTGTAATCTGAGGGACTTCTGACACTGTATTTTATTGCTTTATTGTCATTTGCAAACATGGTTTTGTGTATTTTGGCTATGCAAATGACCATTTTTACTGTTGGTGGGGACCAGATTAGTCAAAAATTGTGACAGTCCTATTTTAGTCCTGGTTTAGACCTGATATTGTCCCGGTTTAGTCTTAGTTTAGTCCTGGTTTAGACAAGTTTAGATAAATTTGGTCAAAAAATATCGACACCTGGGACATTTCTTGTATAAAACTGGGACAAATCATAGTTCTGTATAAATCTGCTGGGACAGGGGACACAGCGCTTAAAACTGGAACTGTCCCAGGTAAATAGGGACATCTGGTCATCCTATTAAGCTCACATGTCTTTAAACTCCATAAACCTTCACTAGAATGCCTTAAAGCTCACTAAGAGTCAATAAGACTGTGGCTCAAGAAAACCCACTTGTGGCCGTTCAAAGGTCCAGCTGTCGTGCTTTGTCCTGACCGGCACAGCATACTCCTCGTTCTTCTGTGCCTCCAGGAAGCCAAAGGAGGTCTCTGTGAGGCGGGCCCGGCTCTGCCACTTCTCCTCTGCTCGCAGACGGTCCACGTGGCCCTTACACCGCATGGGCACCTGCACACAGCAACAGCACAGGGCAGGAGGCCAGAAAACACCATCTTCAATCAGTAAGTTCCACAGAAGAGCTTGAAAAACAAAAGCCACTCCTCTTATTGCACTACATGGGTGGACATTATACCACTGAAACCTGAAGTCTAAGGGTCCCTCATGATTCATGTAACTGTACTTTTTTGAGTACATTTTTAAACTTGTACTTGTAACTGAGTATACTTTTAGCCATGTACTTGTAGTTAGTTATATTTACATTGTCCCAATCCACTGTGGTCTGCTCCTTTCTACACCAACAACCAACTCACATAATATCACACAGTATCGCTTGTTCTGATTGGCCAGATCTCAGAGAATACATGAATTACATGATCGAAAATCATGATCTAAAATGCTTCTACAATGCTGATAAAAAGTAACTGTACTTGTAATTGAGCTATTATTAGTACTTTTACTTCCACCAGTTTTTAAGTTAATTTTAATCATTCAAAACTTGACAATGACGAAATACTGGAGTTGACCTACACTGGGATAGAGTACCTGTATGACCAGCTCGTCGTAGAGGGAGGAGGGGTCTGTGTCTCTGTCGGCTGGGGGAGGGGGCACGGCGTTGGGGAAGACGGTGGAGACGCGCAGGGGTTTGGGTGGAGCTCGGGGGTGTAACTGTCCATCCGAGCCCCGCAGAGTCACTCCTCCGCCTGCAGAAGATAGACCATGTGATACTCGGATCAGACTGGTACAGTGTTGGCTCTACTGTGATACTGTAGAATTTATTTTTTTATATATCAGCAGAGACAGACTGTAGTTATTTCAGAGGATATATTTTGCTAAAGGACCATATTATGCTGTTGACTGATCTATTATAATGTTGTTTCCTAATGAGGCATGAAGAACTTTTATAAGTCATCCATGCACTTTTGAATGATGATTTAGATGATTTTGAAGTGACTTAGCGTGGAGAGCAAAGGGAGGGTGGACGTTGTTAGCATTTTCAAAACAATAGAAGGTCACCTGGTGATGTAAATGTGTGTCAGCAATGAATACATAGACGTGTAAAATGATCAGCCCATAGTGCACCTTAACAAAAAGAAAAAGAGTCATGTTATGAGTGGTTCACCTGGAGGACAGGGCCGTGAGGGTCCTGCTCGGGGGCTCAGCAGAGGCTCACTGCCAGTGCGGAACACTGGAGACAGGGGAGGAGGTACTCTGCTCTCTGCCTTCTTCTGCGGGACCCCTGCACACAGTACAGGGACATGGAATCATTGGCTTGTACTCATTTATGACAAGTGTGATTAGGCCTGTCACAATCATTTATAGCAATTTATGGTTCAATGAATGATAGATGGAACATTTTCGTTATATTTACAGAATATTTTGAGCTGAGAGTGTGTCTTTCTGCAATTTATTTATTGCAGCTCATGTGTTTGTTTTATTTTTTTTTGTAGAGATCAACCTTTTTTTTTTTTCATGGCTAAACCGATGGCCAATAAGCTCTGCAGATATTTTTGAGCAGAGATGTAGAGCTGATTTTAAAAGGGAATTTGAAATTATTACTGTCTATTTACAGCCTAATATCAGCATATAGTGAATTTGCTCTCAGCTCCAGACTTTCTGGGTTTCTTATCAATAAAATACTGTATAATTACACGCAGATACCACCTAATGGTCTGATTATGTGGTCTTTCAAAGTCCCGCTTCCACAAAACAGTTCTCTTGAGCTTGAGTGTGTCCCAGAGCAGTAGTGCTGTTTGTCTTACCTGCGCGGAGGCTACTGTCAGACTGTGCAGACTGGAGTGATGCAGAATAGCCCACATTCTCCAGGTTAGCTGGGTGACTCCCACTTCTGCACAGAAAAACACATGTAAGTATGGAAGAAGTGGACTGATCCATCTCTAGTATCCACTGTATATATTAACTGTTACTGATATTGGATATTGTGTTGATCCAGAAAATTTTGATCAGGTATGGGTCACATGACCTGGGTTCAACTGATCCATTCTTGTTGGACCTTTAGTTTGATGTAATGAGACTATTAACTTGTTAATGTAAAGGAAGCCTCAGAATGTTTGAACTTTTATTCACACAAAGCAGTTCAGTGGGTATTTACAGCATAAATAAGAGGATCTATTTTGTAATAAGAATAACAGTTTTTTGGGGGAAAAAATTCTCACTCCATACAATGGTATTGGCAGATACTGTATTTAAAGTAAATTTAAAGTATCATATCAGAGCTGGACTGAGGCATCCCTAGTTTTAACTGGCTCTACATGACCCTGGTGTTGTTTTTTTTTTACTATTACGTCTATAAATGAAGACATGAGCATTAATAACAGACCAATCAGTAGCCTTCTTTTCCTGAGATCTGCTCCAGCTAGCGTCAGCAACAGGTTTGATTGATAGTGTTGCTAAGCGCCCGCTCCCTGTTAAACCAGTGGTGCAGGCAGGAAGGAGTAAGAACCTTAAAACATCCTCGCTCCTGATTTGCTCTTTGGTCACAATGATAATTCCAAATATGGAACTTGGCTTGCTTCAATGAGCTTCATTTAGCTGGAGACTAATGCTAAGGGTGACATCACACTGTCTCAGTCCACGTCTGCATACAGTCTATGATCTCTACAGGTTAGTGTTTTGACCTGACCTGAGCAGAGGGTTGACCACCTCCAGCATATCACCATGTGAAGAGCTGAGACTTCGGCGTTTGACCCGGTCTGAGTTGGGTAGTCTGCTCTTGTTTTTACTCTCCTCTTGTCGCTCGCTGATGACCCGCAGGGGGAGAGTGCGTGCGATTGGGTGGAAGATGACGGCTCCAGACGACTTGGAGATGGGTTGTCGGCCCCCGACATAGAACCGGATCAGAGCCGGAACACTGTCAAAGCGGTCCTCCTCAAACTGGAACAACTCCCGCGTGTAACCCTGTGGTGTACAAGCACAAGAGAAATGTCTTATGGGTAAGGCTGAAAGATTTAGAAAAAAAATAAAACATTTGTGAGTGGTGTAAGTAGGCCAAATTTAAACCTGGGACTAAGTTGTGGGCCAAACTGAATATTCACCAAACAATTTCAACCTCTACATGTTTTCTCTTCTTTTGAGATTTGTTTTGTTAAACCTTTTCTTATTAAAAAAAAAATGTTTAATAATAGTTATGCTTAAACATTGAATCCAGAACAAGCAGAATATAAAATAATAACAACATATTAAATAAATCAGGTCTGTATAGTCTATCTGTAGCCTGCGGGCAGTTCTAATACATATTTGATAAGATCTCACAGGCCAAATGTAACTGTATTGTGGGCCAAAGTTTTAACGGTTGTATATTACACAAAATGGGCTCTTGTGAGCTTTTAACCATGTTCTAATGCTGTTACCTCCTCAAAAATAGACCTGGAGTTGTATTTTGTTTCATTCACACATGTCTGAGTAACACTTTATTAGTCTGTCTACATCCCCAAAGCTCAAAATGTTCCACCTTGTGATGTCATGAAGTGGTAGCTTTAAGATTAACAGCCCTGTTGAACAGGTTTACGCTTCAGTAGTCAAGAATAATCTGAAGTCGTTTTGCTTTTATTTTTGAATAATGTTTTTACCTTTTGTACTGCTGAGATTGTATCAGAAATGCTCTAATAATGGCTACTGCGCTGAGAAGTGAAGCAGTTTCAAATGAGGCTAAAACAATAGCTGTCACTTCAGAGTTAGGCAAATCCACGGCTGAAATGATCAAAATGATTCTAGTGAACATGTATGGAGCTTAAAACAGAGTGGAGCATCACAAGGAGTGTTTCCAGTGTGAGAAAATGACTCTAAATTCTAAATCTGCAGGGTTTGTGTGTTAAACATGTGTGAATGAAACAAAACGCAACCAAGATTAGAACATAGATCAGAAATAGTGCAGGCCTTAATAATAGCGTTCTAGTTCACATTTTATAATAGACTTAAAAAGAAATAGGCCTATTACTGACAAACTAAACACAAGAATCACATTTCAGAACCTGTTTGTACAGATCTAAACTATAGGGTTACTAATTACAGACTAAGATACGAGATTTTATTGTTTGACACTTCAATAACTACAGCCTTCTCAATAACGTAACTTTTCGATAACATGCGACACGATCAAAGCCTGTTTCTGAACAGAACAAACAGACATGGAATTTGAATGTTCATTGCACAGTCCAGTTGAACACAGTGGAAGAATTCTGGTCATATACAGAGCAAACAACACTCTGACTTAAATATAATAGATTCACTATAAAAGTTGGCTGGCAATTTACAGAAAATAGATGCTACTGCAGGGTTTCAGATAATAATAATATTGAATACCGATGGGTGCATCTAAAATGCGGCTTTCTATTGTAATACAGGGAGTTATTGTGTCTAGTCATGAATAGAAATGCTCGGGTTGAACATTTGTGGATTTACCTTTTGGATATTTCATGGCAAAGTACAACGTAATCACACTGTAAAATCTAGGAAACCAACAGACTAAAGTGGACTGTGAATCTAAAGCGGAGCTTACAAGTAATTCCTCAGTGTTGTGTTCAGTAAATCCCTCTTTCATCTAACTCGGCACAGCAAGTGAAGTGAACTTTAGTTTTCATTCATAGAACTCGTGTTGTGAAACTGTGCCAACCAATCAGTCAGTTCCTCAAATTTGAAATATGTAGTAACCTTTACTTTAAGAGTAAGTTCATCTTACTTAAAACCGTGGAAACCCATTGCCTTGAATTGAGCACGTAAATGTTACTTCTATACACAAGTGAGAGTAAAAACAGGCTCTGTTCTACAATAATCCATCTGCATCAGGGACACAAGGATTTGAATATTTATTACCGTATTTTTCAGATTATAAGTCACACTTTTTTTCATGGTTTTGATGGTCCTGCGACTTATACTCCGGTGCGACATATATATTAAAATTTTCACACTGACAGCTGCGTGAGGCTCTAGTCTTGTGTGTCAATATCTGCTACTACTCTAACACTGTCGCTTGGCTCTACTGCACATGTCTCCTGCAGAAAGAGCCACTGTCCTGCAGCAAGTAATGAAATATTTAGTCGAAAACGGTAATCGAGCAGCAGAAAGAAAGTTTGATGTGAGCGAGAAACTTGTGAGAGACTGGCGGATCTACGGTTTACCTCCAGAGGTCGCAAAGTTGCTGAGAAATGACACTGAGGATGAAGAATTCAATGGATTTGGTGATTTGGAGTGAGATTGAGAGTTTGGTAAACTTGTTCTGTTCTGTTGTTTATGTTATAGTTTATCTGAAGAACTGTTCATATGTGACGTTAACAGTCTGTTGTTCTCTCTTCTATTGTTATTTTCAAGATGAAAGTCAAGCCAAAAAGTACGACTTATAGTCCGGTGTGACTTATATATGTTTTTTTCTTCTTCATTATGCATTTTTTGGCTGGTGCGACTTAAGACTCTGGAAATAATGCAGCAAAACTTTTGTTCAGCTTAAGTTCAAAACACATTGTAACATGTGTAATGAAAAAAATTGTAAAGCTTGGTCATTCCATGTCAATTCAACCAAGGCCCCCACACTCAAAAAAAATGCTGGAAGAAACAAAACAGGTGAACAGGTGTAATCGAGCACAGACTGGATGAACAGAGGGAGGATATAGAGACTGAGTGAACAGAGGGAGGATATAGAGACTGGATGAACAGAGGGAGGATATAGAGACTGAGTGAACAGAGGGAGGATATAGAGTCTGGATGAACAGAGGGAGAGATGAACAGAGGGAGGATATAGAGACTGGATGAACAGAGGGAGGATATAGAGACTGGATGAACAGAGGGAGGATATAGAGACTGGATGAACAGAGGGAGGATATAGAGTCTGGATGAACAGAGGGAGGATATAGAGTCTGGATGAACAGAGGAGGATATAGAGACTGATATAGAGACTGGATGAACAGAGGGAGGATATAGAGACTGATGAACAGAGGGAGGATATAGAGACTGGATGAACAGAGGGAGGATATCTGGATGAACAGAGGAGGATATAGAGACTGGATGAACAGAGGGAGGATATAGAGACTGATGAACAGAGGAGGATATAGAGACTGAGATGAACAGAGGGAGGATATAGAGACTGGATGAACAGAGGGAGGATATAGAGACTGGATGAACAGAGGGAGGACTGGATGAACAGAGGGAGGATATAGAGACAGAGGGAGGATGGATGAGATGAACAGAGGGAGGATATAGAGACTGGATGAACAGAGGGAGGATATAGAGACTGGATGAACAGAGGGAGGATATAGAGTCTGGATGAACAGAGGGAGGATATAGAGTCTGGATGAACAGAGGGAGGATATAGAGTCTGGATGAACAGAGGGAGGATATAGAGTCTGGATGAACAGAGGGAGGATATAGAGACTGGATGAACAGAGGGAGGATATAGAGTCTGGATGAACAGAGGGAGGATATAGAGTCTGGATGAACAGAGGGAGGATATAGAGACTGGATGAACAGAGGGAGGATATAGAGACTGGATGAACAGAGCCTTTAATAGCACATGGCAGATCAAGTTAAAATACGCCCTTCGGCCTTCATCAGGGCAAACTTGAGATGGATATTACAGTGCACATTTAAAGTAATAGGTGTAGGTCACATGTTCACATTGGGCTGGCACACAGTCCCCAGATGCATGATGGGACATGTAGGTTTAGCAAATTTTAGTTACAAGCTATTCAAGTTCAAATATAATACAAGATCTAAATTGTACAAATCCCAACAGCCAATACATAGAAAGATACACAGTATAAAAATACATAGTATAAACAGATACTATGTATAAGAATATATATAGCGCAAAAATTCAAAAGTGCTACAGATATAACTATAATTTGTATAATATTTTAAAGGGCTAGTCTTAAACAGTTTCATGGAGACATGTCTCTATGAAACTGTTTATACATAGTATCTTTTTATACTATGTATTTTTATACTGTGTATCTTTCTATGTTTTGGTTGTTGGGATTTGTACTATTTAGATCTTGTATTATATTTGAACTTGAATAGCTTGTAACTAAAATTTGCTAAGCCTACATGTCCCATCATGCATCTGGGGACTGTGTGCCAGCCCAATGTGAACATGTGACCTACACCTATTACTGCACCTATTACTGCACTGTGATATCCATCTCGAGTTTGCCCTGATGAAGGCCGAAGGGCTGAAACGTATTGGCATATTTTAACTTTATCTGCCATGTGCTATTAAAGGCTTTTAATTATTTTGTACTTTTTGAGTGCCTCCGTTTTTTTCCTACTTTGTATTTGAGACTGGTCCCTACACTGAAGAGCACCAAAAGGACAATTATGCACAATTTTTGTATATCCAAGTAACACTCCTACTCCCAAAGTTTTGAATAGAGGGAGGATATAGAGACTGAGTGAACAGAGGGAAGATATAGAGGATATAGAGACTGAGTGAACAGAGGGAGGATATAGAGACTGAGTGAACAGAGGGAGGATATAGAGACTGAGTGAACAGAGGAGGATATAGAGACTGAGTGAACAGAGGGAGGATATAGAGACTGAGTGAACAGAGGGAGGATATAGAGACTGAGTGAACAGAGGGAGGATATAGAGACTGAGTGAACAGAGGGAGGATATAGAGACTGAGTGAACAGAGGGAGGATATAGAGACGCTCTAGGAGGATCAGGGAGTGAGTGGCAGCTGTAGGAAAAACAAGGAGGTAGCAAAAGGAGGACCGGAACACACTAGGAAATGGAGCTGGCAGTAACACGTCACTGTTGAAGTTACTCATCTCATTCAAGTTGACCTGAGTCTAAATGACAAGAAATGTGCTATTTTGCCCTGAAAGAAACAATTACTTTACCACAATCATTAAGATCCACAAATTTGAAGCTGTGAGTAAAGTAAAGTAGTAAGTAAAGTAAGCGAGTTGAATGCGTGTGTTAGATTTTGCAGTTCAATAGGGAGTCTCTTGCCCCCATCTGGGAGTATGGCATCGTCACAAGTAAAATATTTATGTGGTAAAGTGACAAAATTACAGAGAAAGTGTATCATAAAAACCCTATATATTCGTCACCATAAGGGAACATACCTTCTTGGGCCTCAAAACCACCCGTATAATTTTAAAGTGCATGGGGTAATTTTTCCAGAAGCAGCTGAGAACGTAGTCCCCCGGAGCAGAGCTGGACTCACGCACCAGGAAGTCCCCGTCCCTCTCCAGCAGAGCCTCGGACGCCTGGCACAAGACCACAACATCAACTATTACACTGTCTATTACTGACAGTTATTTAAAGCGATGTGTTGGAAATGTTTTTAATATACTGGGCATCATTATTATTAAAAAAATATAATTCTTTGGATTTATGTTTTTTATTTGAGAGCAGAAACACTCATTTTGACAGTATCAGTTTTGTCCTTTTAATTACATTAACTTCAAATTATAAATCAGATGTCATGCCCAGACAGTTACTCTTTAAGTACTCTTACTTGAGTAGTCAGTGTTTTCCCAAAAACTTTTTTACTCTTACTTAAAGGTGCATTGTGTAACTTTTCTGATGTACAGTCCCTGACAAAAGTCTTGTCACTTATCCATTTTGTAGAAACAAAAGCTTATAACCTGACTTTAAATTAATCGATTGGTTTTAGAAATGTCTCATATGAAAGCTAAAACCCTCCCAAATTATGCTCAATATACTAAAATAAATTTGCTTCACTGAAGAAAGATTGATCATTTAATGAACACACAAAGGTCAGATTTTGGCAAGACAAAAGTTTTGTCGCCTATAGAAAATTGAACAAATAATTTACTTCAAATACAAAAATATGTTGCATAACGTCAGTGAATGAAGTAGTGGTGCTGTGAGATCCATATTTAATATCTTGTATGACTTCCATGAGCTTGAAGGACACATCCATGCGGTTTGACGATTCATACAATTTGTTGATGAAGTCATCAGGAATAGCAAAGAAAGCGTCTTACATGCCTCCCAGAGTTCATCAAGATTCTTTGGTTTTGTCTTCCATGCTTCCTCTTTCATTCTACCCCAGACATGCTCAATGATGTTCATGTCTGGTGACTGGGCTGGCCAGTCCTGGACCACCTTGATCTTCTTCACCTTGAGAAACTTTGATGTAGAGATAGAAGTATGTGATGGAGCACCATCCTGCTGCAAAATTTGACCCTTTTATGGTTGGGAATGTAAGAGGAGCTAATACTTCTTGATATTTTAGGTTATTGATATTTGCCTTCCACCCTGCAAATGTCTCACACACCCCCAGACTGGATGGAACCCCAGACCAGGATTTTTCCACCACCAAACTTAACTGTTTTCTGGGTGAATCTTGGATCCATGCGGCTCCAGTAGGTCTCCTGCAATATTTGCGGCGGCTGTGATGTAATTCAACCGAGGATTCATCTGAGAAATCCACCTTCTGCCACTTTTCCAGTGTCCATCCTTTTAGCAGGCTGTGGGCCTTGGCAAATGCCACACGGTTTTTTAATTGCCTTTTGTTTAGTGCTGGTTTCTGTGCACTGATTCGACCATGGAGGTCATTTCGAGACGAACTGTTATGGTTGACATAGGGACTTGAGGTGACCAGGCCTGGTGGAGTCTGCTGCAGTGGAAAAGGGGCCTTGGATTTTTGAATCAACAAACGGTCCTCCCGAGCAGTTGTCTTGCGGGGTCTGCCGGACCTGGGCTTGTCAAAAACATCTCCAGTCATTTCAGATCTTTTTCTTATTCTTTGTACTTGACGCTGAGACACATTGAAGGTGTCACCACCTCAGCAGTGGATCTGGTCTTCAGCCTCTTGATAATTAACGCTTTGGTCTCAGGGTGGATCTTAGGCATGTTGTCAGAGGTCAAGTTGCAGTTGATGTGAAGGTCTGGTGTGCTGGGGTTCTTTTTATACACACCCACTAATTGATTGATCAGTAACTGATCACAGGTGAGGCTGTAATCTAGGATTGGGTGCATCATATGACAAGGCCACAAGACTTTTGTCTTGCCACAATCTGACCTTTCTGTGTTCATTAAATGATCAATCTTTCTTCAGTGAAGCAAATTTATTTTAGTATATTGAGCATAATTTGGGAGGGTTTTAGCTTCATATGAGACATTTCTAAAACCAATCGATTAATTTAAAGTCAGGTTATAAGCTTTTGTTTCTACAAAATGGATAAGCGACAAGACTTTTGTCAGGGACTGTAGGGTCTATCACCTGCTTGTTTCTATGAATATGTCAATGCTTTGGCTGGAATGTTCCACAGTATGACATTACAATTATTAAATTACATGTGGTTTTATAGCCAGTGTTGGGGAGTAACAGATTACATGTACCGCCGTTATGTAATCAGAGTACAAATTATGAGTAACTGTATTCAGTTACAGTTACTGTTTCAGTGAGTGGTAATTGGATTACAGTTACTTTGTTGAAATAAATGGATTACATGGCGGCATTTTCCTGTTTTCACATTTTGGGCTAAACCAGGACTAAAACCAGGACTAAGCCAGAACTAAACCAGGAATAAATCAGGACTAAACCAGGTCTAAACCAGGACTAAACAATATGACACCTAACAGTAGGTGGACATAATTTAAGGCAGCAGTGATCTCATATAAAAATAATTTCTCTATCAATAATATTTTTAATCTGGTTAAGGAAAGGCTGGACTTTTTATTTACAAAACATCTTATGTTAAAATATCCTCGTCTTTGCTTCTCTACAATAAACAAAAGTCTGTTCATGGAGACTTGGGTCAACAGCCAATTTGAAGAGAACAAACAAGAATTTTCAGGATGTGGTTGGTACATTCATGTCAAGTAATTTAAAGTATTCCGATTACATTATTTACCTTAAATAATTTACATTTTGGGGTATGTAATCTGTAATCTGTCGGGGATTACATTTTAAAAGTAACCTTCCCAACACTGTTTATAGCTCAAAAACACCAAAAAAAACCACCAAAAAACTAGGCATTCTGACTGTGAGTGGCGTCGCCTCTCCACAGATCTGGCCTGTAACTTGGTTTGGTTTGCTCTCTATAAAGATAGAAAGGTTTGATACCATACTGTGAAACACTCCAGACAAAGGAATCAAATTTCCACAGAGAAAAAGCATTTGGTGGACCTTTCACCAGAAAAGTTCCACAGTACATCTTTCAATAATTTCTTGGACCACTATTTTGTTCTTCTAAAGTTATTTTGCAGTAAATTTACTCTTACTTGAGTATAATTTTTGGCTACTCACACCGCCTCTGGCCACATGTCACCTGTTTGTTTCTGGACCCTAGTTTAATCATTCTGCAGCTGAGTGACAATGATGAAAGGCCAATTTCCGTCTTTATGGCCAGAGGTATAAGTACTACAGTAAGAAAGTAATTACTATGTCCCAGGTCAACTCTTGTACTAATGATGTGGGCAGTGGGCCTGTACTCCAGGAGTAAAATCCAATTAACTTGCTTTTAAAAGGTTCCTAAAGACTACTTTGTTTAAATGGACGACAAGTAAAGAGGGAAATTAGTAACTAAATGCACACATAAATAGAAAAATAAGATAAGAACAGGGCAGCAACACGTAGTATTTACTCTTTAGCTCAATACCCCCAACAAAGCTTTTAAGAATGTACAATAATCTAATAATAATATACTTTTAAAGAGCCTTGCAGAAATATGAATGAGCCATTTATAGATCCAGTAGTGATTCACTGTGTGCTGTGTAGTACTGGAGCCATTACCTCTCTGTTTAGGGAGCCGTGGTACCAGGCGTGGCTCCTCACATCATCTGTGCTCTGCTTCAGCTCCTCCTCCAGCTCCTTCTTCAGAGAGTCCATCTCCCTGCGCCCGCTGCGGAACACCTGCCAAACGCAACAAAATACTACTCTGAGTATCACAGGGCATCTGGGTGAAGCGACTAGATAGTATTTTTAAGTTTAAGTAAAACTGACACTTAATCTTTTTATAGTGACACTAAATATTTTTATAGTGAAAGTCCAACAACAATATTTTGGGTGTCAACTTAACATTTTTGAAGAATGTACATAGCTTTGTCACTGTACTGTGTATACGAAGGTTTGTCAAAAATATAAAAACAGATAATCAATACTAAAACTGGTATCGAAACTAGATACTCATTTGAGCAGGTATTGATACTAAAAAAGCCACATTCACAGGGCAGAAAACAACCTATCCTGAATGTCTTTAGAATGATGATGAGCTGTATCAGAACAAGTAGAAGCGCACATAGACTGGTATACACACATGGACCACTATAAAACCTACTGGACACTGAGGGATTACACACATATAATACCACATGGGAATATTAATGATAAAAAATACATTTCTATTGTCTAAAATAACAGTGTTTTTATCATCATTGTGGTATCAGAATGTGTATTGAGTACTGAGTCTGTCATGACAACACTGCTTTATACTGTGAAATTCCAGGAACTGGTACAACCGGTAATTCACTGTAATTTGCACAGATTTCTTTTACAGTGAAAAAACAAGTCTAAACCAGGAGCAAATTAGAAAACATCAGATGTACCCCAGAACTAAAGCAGATCCAGCCCAGAGCCAAAACACAGTAAACCAGGACTACTGCAGGTCAAAAGCGGATTTAAATGAGGTCTAAAGATGACTAAACCAAGATTAAAGAGGAAAAAAACAGACTTAAATCTGGATTAACAGAGGATTTTAAAGTTGTATACACAAAAGTGACTCTTGTGAGCTTTAAGCCATGTTATAACCCTGTTATCTACATGCTTCACTAATCCTTTATTATTGGTTATTATCTGTCTACATCGCAAAAGCTCAAGATGCTCTTTTCCACCTCATGATGTCATAAAGCAGCAGATTTCAAGATACCTTTTACCTTTTTTTTAGTAGGGATTGGCAGTTCTTGGGCTGAAATCATCTAAATGAGTCTAGTGAATGTATGTATTTAAAAACACAATGGAGCACTTCCTGTATTACCAGGTGACATCACAAGGTGGAACAGAGTCCTAAATGCAAAATGCATTTGGGTGTTAAAGGGTTCATATTACACTATTTTCTGATCTGTTATAATGTTGTTTTGTTTCATTCACACATGTTTAACACACAGACCCTGCACATTTAGGCTGAGTTCTTCATGCAAACTGAAAACCTTGTGATGTCATGTGGTAATACTGTGTTTTTAAACTCTATACACATTCATTAGAATCATTTGGATAGTTTGAGCCTTGTAATGTCCAATCTCCACTGAAGTAGAGATTGGACATTTTAGTAGAGATCTACTAAAAGCTGGTTTCACTTCATAGAAACCATCTGACCTCGCAGCATTAGGAGGCGTGTACTTTTTTATTCGGTCGTGACATATATAATGCACCACTAATGGGGTTAACAGGTATATTAATTCACCAAGCGTTCTCTTTGTTCCAGCTTTAAATCCTTGATCTTGGGAATCGTTGCCAACACAGAATGTCTGTCTTCGTTTACATCCATCTCAACGCTTTGTTTACTGTTGTGCTGTTCCACAAAAGGGACCCAGACAGTCACTTGAGTTTGACGTCATGGCTTCACAGCTCACAGCTGATTGGCCAGTGCGACGTCTACAACTTCTGGGGTTCTTGCAAACCATCTAGTGTATTCTGATTCCTGACCTAGTCGCTGGAGAGAAATTAAATTAAGCGGAGGCATTAGGTGGTGACAGCCTGGCTAACTAAAATGAGATGTTAACTTGAAAACTATCACTTCATGACATCACAAGGTGGACCAGAGCATTTTAAGCTTTGGGGATGTAAACAGACTAATCATAAAGGGTTACTCTTTATGCGTGAATGAAAGAAAACACAACTCCAGGTCTGTTTTGATGAGGGAACAGTGTTATAACATGACTTAAAGCTCATAAGAGTAAGTTTTGTGTAATATAGAACCTTTAAACATGAACCAATAGAAAACTCCAGGTATGTTTATGATTAGAAAACAACATTATAACATAGACTCAGAAACCTGCATAATACAGGCCCTCCCAACCTGACATTCTAACATTAATGGCCCCTAAACCTGAGCATTTCCCAAATTCCTCCTGTGTTATCTTATGTTATTTGTGCACTTGTAAAATCTGTGTGCAGAATGTGTGACCCAGAGCTGTGTGCTTAAAGCCGTACCTTGAGCTGACTGAGGTATGCGCTCACACTCCTCCTCTTGCTGCAAAACAAAAAGCCAGAGGTGATTGAGGGGCTAGTAAAGCGGGCCCCCGGGAGCCGCGCGCGCTGCTGCTGCTGTTGGTCAGAATGCAAGGTCAGTGTGGAGGACAAGGGCGCTGTGGAGAGAGACTTTTAATAGCGCGTGCTCTTTCCTTCCTCGTTGTGTCCACCTTCCTGCCTCTGCAAACAGGGGGATGTGCAACCAGGCAACAGCAAAAACATGAACACATATATGAGCGTGCAATTAACTGAATTTTAATGGAGATTCAGACATCTCTTTCATTAATGCTTTTGTCATTTCGAGGTCCATAACCAAGCCTGTGTCAATACAACATGTGGGTTTCTATATTATGCTAAACTGACTCTTGTGAGCTTCAAGCCAGGTTAAAATGCTCTTACCTCCTCAAAAACAAACCAGGCAGGAGTTGTTTTGTTTCATTCACACATGTTTGAGTAATCCTTTCTTATTAGTCTATCTACATCTCCAAAGCTCAAAATGCTCTTTCAGTTTTGTACAGTAGAAATTGGAAATTCCAGGGTTGAAATGATCCAAGTGATTCTACTGAAAGTGTATGGAGTTAAAAAACACAGTGGAGCACTTTCTGTATTATCCCCATGACATCACAATGTGGAACAGAGTGTTCTCTGTTTGAGAGAAGAACTCAGCCTAAATATACAGGGTTTGTGTGTTAAACATGTGTGAATGAAACAAAACACAACTCCAGGCACTCCAGGAAGTGTGTATTAGCATGTTAGTTGCTGTTAGTTACTGTGACACATTCCGAGCATCTTTCTTATCCACCGTGACAAATTCATAAGCACTTTTCATAACTAAGGAATGAACAGTAAATTAAATACAGCAATTAGCATGCTGATGCACTCTTCCTGATTATCAGACAATAAAATGCTTTCTAATTAAATGCAGAGAGAACACCACAAACTTATTTAGACCTCAGGAGCTGCTTGTACAATACAGACTACCAGTCAAGAAATTGGACACACCTTTTTGTATGTATTTTTTCTTTAAGTTTTATCACTTTCTACATTTTATATACACCCAGAAAACATCAAATATATGATGCAAAACATATGGAATTATGAAGGTAAAAAAAGAAGTTTAATAACAATTTTTAAAATGTTTTATATTATAATCAAGTGGCAATCTATGGGTCAAAGCAAAGGGTGGCTATTAATTTAAAATGAACCAAAACAAAACAAAAAACAATCAATCAGTTGATTAAATGGATTCAAATTAAATCAATTATTTTGAATGTATTTTTCATTTCATATTCATGTGTCATTCATAGTTCAGATGCCTTCAGTGAGAATCTACAATGTAAATAATCATGTAAAAAAGAAGAACTTTTTGAATCATAGTTTAACAGTACTGGGACATTATTATTGTTTGCTCAAAATACATGGGAAAAAATTGGGGACAGAGCCTTTAACCTCAGATAAATAATGTCTCCTAGTTCATATGTCTACTTCCTGCTACTGCAAACATGCTCTCAAGTTTCAACACACATTATTCAACCACACAACGGCAAAAATAATAATACTGCACAATCTGTACAATCTGTACAGTAAATCTTTGTTATTTGTGGATTTTCTGTCTCAGGGCTGCAGCAGGAAAGGTCACATGTATGGTAGCCTGGAGGGATCTGTTCAGTGGAGCTGTGAGGGCCGCTTGTTCCCTACACTCAAAGCATGAATACAGCCCACTGTACTCATCAAACATATGACTCTGACAAGCTGTAGGCCTGTGCCAAAACGATAATACTACCAAACTACTCATTGTCAAGTAGTACTCTTTAGTTCTGTGGCAACATTGGGCTAATTGCTAGATATTTATTTATTTATTTAGTCTACATGTGTGCTTCTCAAACTGTTGTTCAAGAATCATCAATGGTACATGAGCTTTTTGTTTGTTCTGTTGGTTTTTAATTTGGCTCAGATCACAGATTCGAACTGGTTTAGTACACGTACCTGGTTGTAGCCAGAAATGCAATGTATGGCGTGAAATGTTTGAGATTCATTTAGTTATTTATTTAAAAGGGACAATGCATATTCATGAACATATACTTGTAAATATGCCAGAATTAGCCCGAAGGTACTTTTCAGGTACTTTTCTTTTTAGTCCATGGCAGGTCAGAGAGATAGAGACATAAGACTAAAACATAAGAACATAAAACGCATCACAAAAGACAAACACACAAGCATGACATACAACACTGACATTTACATAGGAGCAGAACACTAGTGGTTACAGATCTGGTTTCTCTTAAGCCATCGTTTCAGATTAGTTTTAAATGAACTGAATGTGGTGGAGTCTCTTATAGCAGCTGGGATGTTGTTCCAGATTTCTGTGCCCTTGACTGATCACATCTACTGACTGAAAGTTGTGCGTCTATAGAGTTTTACACAGTCACCTTTGGTAGAGCCTCTAGTGCTGGACTTGGGCTTAATGAACTCACCCAGAGCTGGTGGAGCGAGTCCATTTAAGACTTTGTAAACTAAGCAGGCGAGTTAAATTTTTTTGAAAATTTCCAAAACTTACGATATTATACTTCTGTAGTATGAGACAATGATGAAAAGATAAAGATTTCCTATCAAATATCTTTAACGCTGTTTTAAAAAGTGATTCTATTATTTTTAAGGTTGTCACGCTTGTCAGTGACCAGTTAGTAATGCAGTATTCAATGTAAGAGAAAATCATGCTGTGGAGAAACATTTTAGCTACATTTTATGGCAATGATGATCTAATTTGCCTAAAATTGTGAGTCTTAAAATTTACAATTTTTGATACATTTTTTACATGTTTTTTAAAAGATAAAGTGGACTCCAAGGTAACGCCAAGATACTTAAATTCAATTACAAACTTGTACAGACTCATTGTGATCAAATGAGTCTGTTAACTTGATGTAAGGCTCCCTATTGTAATTACACACATCGCCTAATCATTGTGTTCAAATTCCACACAGGCTACGTCATCGTTATGATTTTACTCTTCACCATCTTTTTATTACTCATCTACTACTTTTGTTTCTTGGTCAATTTTAATTAGACAAATGCACCCTGACTTATAAGTGATTCTATTCTATCAGCTATTCTTTTGTTATCACGTGTAGACTACCTTTTCTTTGCACTAACAGAGACACAGATTCAATACTGATCCCGATACCACGATTATAATTAAAAACACACTTTCTTTAGACAGTAGAATGTGATTTTCAATAGTAGAGCATAGTATAAAGCAGGACAGAGGCACTCGAGTATCGTGGGATTTGGAAAATGTTAAAAAGCCTTTATTGAAAAAAAAACACCAACGCATTTCCATGATTCAATACAGGCTTTTAAACATGTTCTAAATCCCACAAGTACCTCTGTCCTGCTTTAAACGCTGCCTGATCCTCAAACAGAAGGACCTGGGTAAAATCCTTAGGCTTACTAATGCAACCGCAAAGACACTCAAGTAGCATTCCACTGGCTTTGATTAAATCGTAGTACTTTCTTTTATGGTCTTGTATGTGCGTAATCCCTCAGCGGTCCAGGAAGGTTCCATAGTGGTCCATGGGCGTATACTCGTCTATGTGCTCTTATACTTGTTCTGACACAGCTCAACATCATACTTAAGGTATTCAGGAAAGGTCCATTTCTGTCTTGTCAATTTGTACTATTTTAGTACCGATACCTGCTCAAATGACTAATAGCCTAGTAGTTTTAGTATCGATTACAGTACAAAAACTATTTGTCAACTATGAATTGAGAAAGAAATTTAAATTAAAGAGAAAAGAGGTAATATAAAACATATTTAGATTTAACTGACTCTTGTGAGCTTTAAGTCATGTTATAAAGTTACTTCCTCAAAAACAGAGCTGGTGTTGTGTTTTGTTTCATTCACACATGTTGGCGTAATTCCTTTATTATTAGTGTGTTCCACCTCATGATGTCACAAAGCACTACTTTTCATGTTAACAGCTATCTTTTACATTTTTCTTCAACAGAGATTGAAAATTCCAGGTCTGTGTAAGGTGTTTAAAAAAACACAGTGGAGCACTTCCGGTAAAGTTTCTTCATTATTTGAGTAAATTTCATCTGACAAGTAGTGGAACAAGACTTTTTATGCTTAAAATATGAAAATACATCTTGTTATGTCTAAGATAATAAAGACAACAACTCTTTGCACTTAAAATAAGAAACATAAGAATTGATGAAGCATTCCTAATCCTTTCCATTCCTAAGCATTTACTAATCTGAAGTAATTATAAATTCTTCATGGTAGACAGTTTAGTGATAATGGCCACATTAAAACAGACCTACAATCACAATGGGTAAGGTAAGAAAAAAACATGAAGTATTTCTAAATTATTTTGCTTAACGTTTTGTGGGTGGATGAGGAGGAGTGGTCATATCTTGTAGTAACTAGTATTTTGATAACCTGCCTCTATTTGAGTTGTTTCTGTGTTTCTTCATTTATCCTGGTTTAAGACTGGTGCAATAAGTAGACTGGATTGCTTTGTTTTGATTTAACAATAGGGATGTAACGATATCAAAATCCCTTAATGCAATATTTTCATGATATGCATCTCACGGTTCAATATTTATTGCGATATTTTGTGGAGGCCAACAAAATTGTGAATATGCTGCTTTTTCCTTTTAAACACCTTGGAAAATACTTAAGAAGGCTTTTAGTACTGTTATAATATGAAGATTTAAGATTTGAAAGTGTGTAATAACAGGTATTTCTTCTTATAGTCTGCAGTGACAACACCAAAGGATCATGGTCTATGCAGTTCCTTCTGTTTTTAGATATTACTGCACCATGGCAAGGAAAAGTACACACAAAGAAATCAAAGTGCTTAAAAGAATAAGAAAGACTTGTAATCCGATATATATTGTGATGGCCTCCGTTTCTGACGATACGATATTGCGATATTTCAGTTATTGTGACATTCCTATTTAACAGTTTTCAATAATGAATGTAGAATAGGGACAAAATAGACAGCTTTACAGTATACACAATTGCGTTTTCATGCTTTGAAATAAGTGCCCACAAATAAATGATTGTTTCAATTAAGAAATACACATTAATTCCATTGGTAGATCATTTTCACCAAGTAAATTGTTCATAATTTAAGCCATTTTTACGTACCTAGATATTGCTTTTGGCAGTCAAGTATTTGCTTTTCGATACTTTTGACAATCCTAGCCCCAATCTTTCCCTACATCCCTATTCTTCCGGCTGGCGTGGGGATGACAGCTCGGAGGGGCGTTGGCGCTCTCAGATCGTGCCTGCAGCAAACACCTGGGAAAGCCTGAGAAACCAAAAGGTGACTCAACCAAAGCTTTTACGTAGCCTACAAAGCTTTTACGTGGCCTTACAGCATCCTGTCTGGATTTAAGACTAAGAGAATGGTTGCCCTAACTGTTTATCACTACAGTTTGACTCAAAGTGCATCTGTGTGACTCAGATAGAACAACAGGAAGCTATAGTTGCCAATTAGTAGTTTTCAGAATCTAAAATGTGATGATGACATACTTTCAGATGGGGGCAAGAGCCAGTTTTTCCTATTAATTACACTGTACTTTTCCATGAAATATCAAAGGTAAAAGGTAAATTCCCAAATATGAAACCTGATCATTTCTATTACTGACTAGTTCCAAGGCCATGCTATATTATAACAAAAATCTGCAGCTAAACAATATTGATTTTAGCTGCCCCCATCTGTATTCAATAATATTTACCTATCGAATACTGTGATGTCATCTGAAACCAGAAATATAGAACAAGACTGATTAGTTTTTTCGACTAAAACAGAAATAAAACCATCCACAACTATTTTATTACTAATAAATAAAAAGTAATCTGCTGGAAAAAGGGTTTGGGAGTAAAGTTTACACAAATCTCGCGGGAACATGTCAAGACAACACATATTGAGCAACAGGTGAGTTACCTATATTTTACCGTGGTTTATCATCATTTGCAGTAAATAACAAACGAAATATGTAGAATTTGAAGCACGGTGAGCACAAAAGTTAAATAAACTATCCATAAATGTTATATAAACGAATTTTAACGATTAGAAACGGTTAAAACATAGCAAATCTCGCGCGGAATTGAAAATCATTCCAGAGAAAAGCGCTCGCGAGCAGTCTTACCTTTCTTTTTTTTACCGCCACTCGCAGCTTCCACGCGACGACACGGCCATTTTTGTTTTACGCCCCGAAAAAACTGCTCAAAACTCGGCTACAGTTTGCTCCGGCTGGTCCCTCCCCGGCCCCGTGTGTTGCTTCAGCCTCTCCTCCATGTCCATTCTCCTCCTCCCCGCTGCACCGAGGCGAGTTCACACAAGTCGCTCCCCCGCTATTCCCCGCCCCAGGCCCCGGTGCTCCAGCCCGCTATCCGCCCGGCATTCCTCGGATACCGACGCCAGACGAGCTCACACATCACCTGGCTTCAGTCAGGCGGGTGCTGGGTACGGCTTTAAAATGACGATAGAACTAGAGTGACCAGACGAACCTATTTACCCGGGACAGTCCCAGTTTGGAGCCCTGTCCCAGCAGATTTATCCAAAACCATTGATTTGTCCCAGTTTTATACAAGAAATGTCCCAGGTGTCCCTATTTTTGACGAATCTGATCCCTGCCAACAGTAAAGAGAGGCATAAATTGTAATTTGTTTAGGTAACATACAAAAAAAGCTGCTTAAATGTGACTATACAGGTACTAGAGCGAGACCAAACCAGGTACTAGACCGGGACTAAACCAGGTACTAGACCGGGACTAAACCAGGTACTAGACCGGGACTAAACCAGGTACTGAACTGGGACTAAACCAGGTACTAGACTGGGACTAAACCAGGTACTAGACTGGGACTAAACCAGGTACTAGACTGGGACTAAACCAGGTACTAGACCAGGTACTAGACTGGGACTAAACCAGGTACTAGACTGGGACTAAACCAGGTACTAGACTAAAACTAGGGTACTAGACCAGGTACTAGACCGGGACTAAACCAGGGACTAGACCAGGTACTAGACCAGATCAGATACTAGACTAGGACTAAACCAGGGACTAGTCTGGGACTAAACCAGGGACTAGACCAGGTACTAGACCAGATCAGATACTAGCCTGGGACTAAACCAGGTACTAGACCAGGACTGAACCAAGTACTAGACCAGGATTAAACCAGGTATTAGAACAGAACTACTAGACCAGGTAGTAGACTGGGACTAAACCAGATACTCGACTGGGGCTAAATCAGGACTAGACCAGTTACTAGACCAGGAGTAAACCAGATACTCGACTGGGACTAAATCAGGACTAGACCAGTTACTAGACCAGTTACTAGACCAGGAGTAAACCAGGACTAGATACATTAGTGCTGAGTGCATAACAATTTTCCTTAATTACGCTCTCGTTTCACAATTTTAGTATTTCCAACTGACCCAAACCAGGGATGTCCCGTTTTTGATTTTGAAAATCTGGTCACTGTAGTTAGGCAGGTGGTGTGTAGGTCTTTAAAATAGGTATGTCATGGAACGTAATGTGCTGGTTTACAGAGCACATCTGTTTGAAAAGTTTAAAAGGCTGTCATGATGATAAAAAGCAAGGGTATGGAATGTTATGTTATCTTCTGATTTATGTTATATATTAGGCCTCTGTGTTGTTTCCTCATCAAAAACAAGCCTGGAGTTGTGTTTTGTTTCATTCACATATGTTGAATAATATGTTGGTAAAACAGGAAATGCTGTGTGTTTTTAAATTCAATGAAACACCTTCACTAGAATCATTTGGATCATTTCAATCCTGGAATGATAATTTCAGTCCTGGAATTTTCAGTGTCTACTGAATGATAGGTAAAAGGTAGGAGTTAACTTGAAAATGACCACCACATGACATCACAAGGTGAAGTAGAGCATTTTGTGTTTTGGAGATGTAGACAGATTTAGGGCTGGGTGATATGGGGAAAAAAACAACAACAACAATTTTTCCCTCATATAGATTGGTCTCGGCTTGTGGAGTTCAGGCATAGAGGGCAGGGAGTGTCAAGATTACTACAGTTTTTATTTTGTGTTAATATGACCAATATTTCCAGAGAAATTCACATTTAAAGTTTGCAATAAGTTTGTACAATATCTAGACAGATATATAAAGAATAATAAAGGATTACTCAAACGTGTGAATGAATCAAAACTTTCAAAATGTTTGTGAGCAGGTAACAACATTCTAAGCTCACAAGAGTCAGTCTTGCGTAAGATAGGATTTTTAAATGTGAATGAAAACTTGTAGTCGTATTGAAATGAATAAAGCGTATCAAAGCCTTTTCCATAGTTTTGTATTGTGACAGCACAAGTCCACTACTGGGTGTGCAAAATAAATATGTCATAGATTATTGAGATTTAGTTTGAGTAATTAGACCATAGTAACTTTCTCAATAGCTCCAGTTACACTTGCAACCTAACCTGGGAATTTACCTAGCATTTTGTCAAACCCTGGTCATGTGTAAATAAAGCCAGTTCTGATATCCCTGCATTTTAAGTACTGTAGGTGTCTTCTCTAACACAAACTCCCCCATAGAACTCAGCCCAACCGCAAAAGTGTGATAAGACTTTACAAGCCTGGAGTTAATGATAAACCAGACATGTGTAGAAGTGTGTTTGAAGAAAGTGTCTCATTGTCCTTGTCCCTCTCTCTTTACTCTGGAGCAGAGTACCCGGACGCCAGGGCCAGAGGGGCCCAGAGCGGTGACCCTACTGTGTGCCATCACTGTCGGGGTGCTGTACCTGCGTTTTCCTTCCTCGCTCTGGTCTTTGTGGTCCTCGGTCAGGGGCTGGAGCTGCGAGCAGGAGGCAGAGAGGCGGTGCTTGCTGTCAGCACGTTGGAGGTGGGGCAGGACGCTCTGGCGAAACAGGTCCTTCCGTGGGTTCACCTGCAGGAAGTGGCAGGGACACACACACACACACAGAAACTGGTGAGGTCAGATATGAAGTAAGTGTGGTTAAGTGTGGTGACAGTGGTTGTGAAAGGGGAGGTCCTAAGAGTGTTGTAGGAGCAAGGCTATGAAAACAGATCAAATGCAATATGAGATTATAAAATGACAGCTGCTCTCATCCTATAACTGTCGATAACCATATACTACGGAAGCCGAGAGGGGTCACAACAAACGCAAACGCCGCAACAAATGCAAATGCGACAACACAACAAAAAGCCACAAAAAAACAAAAAAAGCCACGACGTACCAAAAAAGCCACAACGGAAATGACCGCAGGACTGTATTTTAATGCAAACGCCACAACACAAACACAAATGCCGCAACACATTAAAAAGTCGCAACACATTGAAAAGTCACAATACATTAAAAAGCCACAACGGAAGTGACCGCAGGACTCTATTTTCCGACGGACCGATCAAGCAGCAAGTGAGGAAGAACAACTACAACGTGAAACGAATAATGATAAAACAATAAATTACTTTTACTTGCATTTCCAACTTCATTCCTTTACTTTTCACATTGTAGTTCTTCTTCTTCACTTGCCGCTTGATCAGTCCGTCGGAAAATAGAGTCCCGCAGTCACTTCTGTTGTGGTGTTTTGATGTGTTGTGGCTTTTTAATGTGTTGTGGCTTTTTAATGTGTTGTGGCTTTTTAATGTGTTGCGGCATTTGCGTTTGTGTTGTGGCATTTGTATTTGTTGCGGCGTTTGCATTAAAATAGAGTCCCGCGGTCATTTCCGTTGTGGCTTTTTTTTTGGTGTGTTGTGGCTCTTTGTTGTGTTGTTGCATTTGTATTTGTTGCGGCGTTTGCGTTTGTTGTGACCCCTCTCGGCTTCTGTAATATACACCTTATCTTAATACATTTATATTAAAGCATTTTTCCACCACTGTTGAGCATTCAAGGTGCTTTCATTGTGCCTATCTCGTCAAGCACATGAAGTGCTTATATGTCGTCCATGCATATTTCTGAGTAATCTCTCCTGGGCCCTATTCAGACTCTCTTTATATCAGCCATGTTCTCGCACAGCAGTTTTCCATGAATATACAAAAGCATGATACAGAGCAATATACTTACTATAAGTTCACTAATCAGAAGCGATCTGCAGTAGTTTCATTAGCGAGATGCACAATGATTGAGATATGGTGGCGCTCTGAAGGGGGAGTAACTCTGGGGAGGGGACTCAGAGCATCAAAATCAAAACTGAAACTAATTACATTTTAGTACATTTCTTTTGGCAAATATAGCCAAGATATAACATGTTTATAGGTTTAATTTAGTTTCTTTTGTGTTTGATTCTTTGAGTCTCCCTTCTCTTTGCTCTCCGCATTAAGTCACTCCCCCTTCAGAGCGTTAGCACAGCACAATCAGTGTGCCCAATGAGGTTCATTTGGTCTTCTGATAATTTATGTTATTAGGTTCTTTTTTCAGACCAGGATTTTGTTTTCATAATGACAGTTTCGACTGCTCACTAGCGCTCTTCCTCAGAGTGGTCACGTGATGTTGCTGTGACATGTCCGGTCAGCTGATTTTTACAGATTTTGGCACTGTCTTCCTACCGGTGGGGGCAGGACGACAGCGCCATCTACAGTCCGACTCCCTCAGGACAGTATCCCAACTGTGTGAGAGTAAAAAAGCCCCCTCATCCCGGTTTTTAGGCTGTCCTGCCCCCACCGGTAGGAAGACAGCGCCAAAACCTGTATAAATCAGCTGACCGGACACATCACAGCAGCATCACTTGACCACTCTGAGGAAGAGCGCTAGTGAGCAGTCAAAACTGTCAGATATGAAAACAAACCCTTGGTCTGAAAAAAGAACCTAAAAACATACAATCAGTGTGCATCCAGTTAATGAAACTACTGCACATCGCATTAGATTTGTCAAGTGCTTTTGTGTATTTATAGAGAATTGTTGTGTGGGAGCATGGGTGATGTAGGCCTGTGGGCAGAGCCTTGTACAGAATCTTACAGCTAACAGTAAGTTTGAATAGGGCCCAGGAGACATTGCAAAAATATATAAACATTTATGGATGGATGGATTTTCTGTTCTTTTTTGGTAACAGTGAGTGGAGTTCTTACAATGTGCAGATGGAAGAGCCTTACATATCCCAACATCCTGGTCAACTCCCTTTAAGGTCAGTATGATTCTGCCCGCTGCCCAGCGCTGCAGGTACACACTGACACAGCTCTTTTGAACAGGACGCAGTTTCATTTTCACGTTCATTGCTTTTGATGACTGGCCTTGTTTTTTGCAACCAGGGAAATGTTTCCTCCTTATGTATTTCTTTGTCGTCTCCGAAAAAGGCATCAGTCATGAGCACATTTGTGGCAGCCAGAAGAGATGTGAGATTGGTCGCTGCGTGGAAGTGACAGGCAAATCTGTCATAGATGCAATCCATATACTCCACCCTACCTCAGCTCACAAATGTGTACAAATACATCGGGTACAAAGGAAGAGTAGCAGTAGGAGCAGGAGTAGGAAGATGAATAGTAGCAGTAGTTGGAGGGGAAATAGTAGTTTGAATAGTAGGATAGGACTAGTAGTAGTAATAATAGGAGGAATAGTAGTACAAGTAGTAAGATAGCAGTAGTAGTAGTAGGAGGAATAGTAGTATGAGTAGTAGGATAGGAGTAGTACTAGTAGTAGTAGTAGGAATAGCAGTATGAGTAGTAGGATCGGAGTAGTAGGAGGAGGAGAAATAGTAGTACAACTAGTTAGATAGGAGTAGTAGTAGTAGGAGTAGGATAGCAGGAGGAAGAGGAACACTAGTACAAGGACGATAGGAGTTGTAGTAGGAGGAGGTGAAATAGTAGTACGAGTAGTAGGATAGGAGTAATAGTTGGAGGAGGAGGAATAGTAGTATGAGTAGTAGTAGTAGTGGGAAGAGGAATAGTAGTACGAGTAATAGGACTGGAGTAGTAGTAGTAAGAGGAGGAATAGTAGGACAGGATTAGTAGTAGTAGATGTAGGAGGAGGAGGAATAGTAGTACGAGTAGTAGGACAGGATTAGTAGTACTAGTAGGAGGAGGAGGAGGAATAGTAGTACAAGTAGTAGGATAGGAGTAGTACTAGTAGTGGAAGGAGGAGGAGGAATAGTAGCATGAGTAATAAGACAGGAGTAGTAGTAGTAGTAGTAGGAGAAATAGTAGTACAAGTAGTAAGATAGGAGTAGTAGTGGTAGTAGCAGGAATAGTAGTACGAGTAGTAGGATTGCAGGAGGAAGAGGATCAGTAGTACCAGGATGATAGGAGTAGTAGTAGTAGGAGGAGGAAGAGGAGGAGAAATAGTAGTATGAGTAGTAGGATAGGAGTAATAGTAGGAGGAGGAGGAATAGTAGTACAAGTTGTAGTAGGATAACAGGAGAAGGAGGAACAGTAGTACGAGTAGTAGGACAGGATTAGTAGTAGTAGTAGTAGGTGTAGGAGGAGGAGAAATAGTAGTAGGAGTAGTAGGACAGGATTAGTAGTAGTAGTAGTAGTAGGTGTTGGAGGAGGAGGAATAATAGTACACGTAGTAGGATAGGAGTAGTAGTTAGTAGTAAGAGGAGGAGGAGGAATTGTAATATGAGTAGTTGGATAGAAGAAATAGTAGTAGTAGGAGGAGGAGGAGAAACAGCAGTACAAGTAGTAGGATAGGAGTAGTAGTTGTACGAGGAGGAGGAATAGTAATATTATGTAGTATGATAGGAGTAGTAGTAGTAGGAGGAGGAGGAGGAATAGTACAAGTAGTATGATACGAGTAGTAGTAGTAGTAGTAGTAGGAGGAGGAGGAGGAATAGTAGTATGAGTAGTAGGATGGGAGTAGTAGTAGTAGCAGGAGGAGGAGGAATAGTTGAACAAGTACCTGTTGTAGGATAGGGGTAGTAGTAGTAGTAGTAGTAGGTGGAGGAATAGTAGTAGAAGTCATAAGATAAGAGTAGTAGTTACAGCAAGAAGTAGTTGTAGGAGTAGTAGTAGTAGGATAGGAGCAGTAACAGTAGGAGTAGGAGCAGTAGTAGGAGCAGTAGCAGCAGTAGTAATTAAAGTAACGTTGTCTGACCAGGTCCATAGATGATCCTAGTGAGTGTTTTCGGCTGACCCTTCTCTCCACACGGGCTCCTCCTGTGGAACAATAAAAATACTCGAGTACTGACTGAGTATATGATGCTGATATGTATGAAAAAAAGGCCATATCCTGTTTATTTTGAGTACAGACAGCGTTTGTTTTCTTGCTTGTTTTTGCTTTATTTATTAGAAAAATACAAAAGGTAAGTTGTAATAGGGAAAATAGAACATTGTAAAGGTACATAGATGGGCGACAGCTAGAATTTATATTAAAATGGGGGTTCACTGATAGAAATAATCATGTTCAACAATTATCTTTTACATTTTTCTCATGAGAATACAATGTCCCCAACTATCTGAAAACCACCAATTATCAGCAATTATCAGCTATAGCATTAAAAATAAGTGAATTCGTATTGTTTTTTGTTGTTGTTTTGTTTTGTTTTTTGTTTACCAGAGTGCGGGTCCAGCGTGTGCCTGTGTCGCTCCAGCTGCTTCAGGATGGTCTGTCTGTGGCCGGGCTCGTCCACTCCCGCTCTTCTCAGCTCCTCCTCTGTGACATTCAGTAAGCCCTGCGCGAACAATACCAGGAAACATCAGCAATCTGCTCAGATCGGGTACACGTGCGGCGCTAAGTGGACAGGGCCAGAGAGGATGGAAGGTCAGGTGGGAACATTTCAGAAATAAAAACGCCTTTTGCGAAATGTGGTCTTGAAAACAAAAATCAAAAGTGGCAAAGCAAACGGCTGCAAATACCTACGTTATCACCATAGTAACAAAGTTTTCAGCAGAAGGCACGTGGACGAGGTCTGAGAACCAGCAGTCTTTGACCCTAACTTTGGGTTTTGACAAAAATAAATATCTTACAGTGGGGCTAAACACCGAGAAGTTTATCTCGCACAGCCACATTTCAAATAGAGCTGCTAAACAGAGAGAGTGAAAGGGGAGGAAGGGCAGGGTTATGATGAACAGTGTGATTGGTCTAACAGGAATCCACTAGGGATGTAACGATATCCACATCTCACGGTACGATATTATCATGATTTTCAATATTTATTGCGATATTTTGGAGTGGTTAATATAGCGTATTTTCCGCACTATAGGGCACTCTGGATTATAAGACACACTGTCATTAGATGGTTTATTTTCAAACTCTCTTCACAAATAAACCGCGCCAGACTTTAAAGGAAACACAACAGTGTGATGGGTGAGTGGTTTTGTTTGTTTGTGGCGTTCACGGTGACTCTGGCGTGTAGGGAGGGTGCTGTCTGGGACCGCTGGATTGTTGGCGTGTTCGCAGTGACTCAGTTGTTCAGTTGTGTCTAGAAGTGGCAAATTGCACTCACTTTTTCGGTTCATTCCTCTGTTCCGTTCCTCGTCGGCGTGGAGTGATGAGTGTGGCTGTGGGTGTGTTTCACTGTGTGGTCGCTGTCTGCTCCGTGTGTGTTTGCGTGCGCTGCTGGTGGTGCGGCTTTGTAGTTTACTGAAGTTGTGCTGGGACACCCGAGTGGATTCATGTATAGGACGCTCTGGATTGCGGGGCCCGCAGCCGTTTTTTGACGGGTTTGGATACTTATGAGTGTGCCCAATACGGTTATTGTAGACAGGATACTTTTTGCATTTAAAACACTATCATAATCCCATGAATTAACATAAAAAATATATCTCTTCATGTTGTCTGCACTGAAATGAATCATGGGATATGCTGTTCCCTATGTTTTTTTAGCTGTTGTCATTATAACACCATGCATTTGACCAAAGAAATTTGTAACTCTATATATTGTGACCGCTCTCGATATTATTGTGACAGTTATGACGATACGATATCACAATATGTCGATTATTGTTACATCTCTTATATCCAGACTTCAAACTCCGCCCCTGCAGCCAGTGTTTGTAATCAGAAATACCCATCTGTAATCAAGACAGTAATGCGTGATGTCACATAGTACTTGAAATAGACACTGTTTTTGACCAGAAAGCTGCAAATTTACCTTGTTTCTCCTAAAATTGCCAAAGAAACACTAGGAACAGTAGACAATACTATCAATATACCATATATAGGGATGGGACGACATACAATTTCCACAATACGAGACGAGACACGAGATTGGTTCAAGACAAGACGAGATTTTGACATTCTTTATAATTAATACATTTTGCAGTTCCCATTCTTGGCCTCACCATTTTTTATTGACTTTATTTAATATTTTGTAGCAGTGCTTTTTAGGACTACAGCTTCTCAAAAAATGTAACTCACCAGTATTTAACTCAATTTTTTAATCCAGTCCAAACGTAAAAACAGTCAAGTCTAATTTTCATCATGTGTGCACAATCTTGTGGCAATTTTGTCTCAGGAGATTTTGTTCCATCCCTAACAATACACACAGTTTAGTAGAAGAAAAAAAAAATTGTTTGTCTTGACATTGTTTTGCTTCATCAAGTGAATGAATGAACATGAAAATTAACCACAAAGAGCAGAAATATCACTTTATAACCTTTTAATTGTTTTAATTATAGACCATTTACTCAATATTCAAATTTAACATTTATCCAAAACAACATCTGCGATATTCTTAATTTGTCAATATATCTTACACCTCTACATTAGAGCCAGATCAAGACAAAAACACCCTGGCCTTTCTGGTTATGCTAAGCAGAGCTGAGTTACTTAACAGGCATCAGTGAGAGTGACACCAGTAACCTGAAACTTAAATGATTAAACACGTTTGAGGGATGGAAGTTTCCGTTTTAAATTCCTCCCCTAAAGGCAGCAGAAAGCCTCTTGGATGGAAGTAGAAACGTCTTCAAAATACTCCTGTCACAATAACATGTTTTGAAGCGTGATAAACTACTGAAGTAAATATAGACGATAAACGATAATAGTGAAACCAAAACATAAAGCAGAAATATAGCCCAAAGCAGTATTCTAAATGTACAGTATTGTAAAAAAAAATATGGACTGCAATAAATAAATAAGAGAATGTTGCACTTCATGTTGTTGTAATTCAGCTCTCAACAGTATAGAAAAATAATCATAATTTTCACATTAATACAAAGAACAAGTACTTAGAATAAAAATTTTTCCATCCAAAATTAATTGAACAATTAGTGGATATAGTAATTATTGTGACAGGTCTACTTCAAAACTTTGCTCACATGACTATTTCAGAAAATATTGTGGCTAAATTGTTAATATGGAACACAGATATACCATTATATATCATTATACCTCAGCATAGATTCTGTTCAGTGGGGCAGCAGTACGGCTGAATGATGGAACTGTCTTTGCTAAAGTACTCACCTCCAGACCGTAGAATTCCCCCTCCAGATTCTTGATGTACTGAGGGAGGCCGATCTGCCTGAGCCACCACGCGATGGAGCGGTTACTCATGTCTATAACACAACAAATTAATAATCTTACAGGCAAACTTACACGCCATGGCGATTATTTACTGTATATTTATGTATTTTATTTATTAACAACTGTGTCATTAAAATTAAACAAACATTCAGCATTTAAACATTCAAACAGTCCAAAGTTTAGACAAACCATCTCATTCATTTATACTATTTTATACATTTTAGATATATACAGACATCTGTAGCAAAGAAAAAAGTGAAATAACTCAACTAAATATTTTTCAACAAAGCAAATGGTGGCTACTTTGAAGAGTTAAATATAAAAAATATTTTTAAAATAGCACTGTTATCTCACTATGTCTTGCTTCATATATTTGATGTCTTCTGTAAGTATCTAAAATGTGGAAAAAATAAAGAAAATAATCACTGAATGAGATGGTGTGTCCAAACTTTGGACTTGTACAAAAATGCATCAATCTTATATCTATGCCCCTTTTTCCAGCTAATACTTTAACACACTGATAGTTACATTTCACTATACACCTCCATTTAAATCACATTAATTCACTAATTATATAAAATTTTAAATATGCATTATCTTGCATTATTGGTCTGTGGACTCTACATCTCCAAAGCTCTGCTCTACCTTGTGATGTCATGAAGCAGTAGTTTTCAAGTAAACAGCTGCCTATTCCCTTTTGTTCAGTAGAAATAGGCAATTCCAGGACTAAAATTATCCAGATGATTCTAAGGAAGGTGTATGGACTTTAAAAACACAGTGAATTTCCTGTTTTACCACAAAACATCACAAGGTGGAACAGTGTTTTCTGCTTAAGAGAAGAACTCAGCCTAAATCTGCAGGGTTTATGTGTTAAACATGAATGAAACAAATTACGACTCCAGGTCTGTTTGTGATGAGGAAACAACATTAGTAACAGTTGTCCTTACGTTACCTGTAAGGACAGCTGAGCAAACAATGTTATTTTTTTTTATTGTATAAGCTTGGTTGGCGACTTGCCAAAGAATCCCTTCTGATATCGAGATATGACTAATGATAAGAGATCACTAGATGAGTTATCAAAGCAGGGGTGGTTTCATTCAGGAACTGACGTCAAACTGTCTCAGTTTGTTAAATCACATTCTGTGTCACTGCTCTGAGATTTTTCTGTTTGTGATTTGTTATGACACATCTTTAATAATGTGAGCAAACCTCGTTGTTAAAGCCTGATCTCGTCAGATCTCAGAAGGTTTAGGGCTATTATTATTAATACAGTTTTAGTATTGCGTAAATATGACACAATAGCTAGTGACACGGTGCATAAAAAGAATTTGAGTCCGTTGTACTAACACCAATATACAGGAAATGTACTATTCTCTCTGGATAAGTATTACGTGAATAAATTCATGTATGAACCACAGGCTGTATAAAGAAGTGGACTAAGTGTGACGTCACCCACACTGTTCAGCTCCAGTCAAATGAGTATCATAGCAACCAAAGAGCACATCCAGACCAAGGCTGTTGAAGGTCCCACAATACCAGTAATCTCACACAATTTTATGGTTAAATATTGTTTGAACATGTATGTATAGGTATGTGAGGAATGTAACATGTAGTCTGCATTATACAGGCTTGGACTCCTGAGCTCTGGTATTTCACATGGATAACTTTAGATACAAAGGTAATGGATAGAATGTGAAAGAAGTGAAGTCTGATTTTGATATGAACAATTTTAAACTCAATTTTGATGAGGAATAGACTCAATATCGATTCTGATACCACAATGATAATAAAAAAACTCTTTACTTATACAATAGAATGATGATTTTCAACATTACATCATAGTATTTTTAGCACATTCATATTGCTGTGTGGTTTTATATGTGTGAAATCCCTCAGTGCTCCAGGTATATGTGCCCTTCTACTTGTTCTGATCCAGCTCAAGATCATTCTCAAGAAAGGTTCATTTCTATCTTGAAAATGTATCAGTACTTGCTGCTTTTGCTACTAGTTTCGATACTAGTTTTAGTATTGATTCATATCTAATGTTCAATACTTTTGATGACCCTTCTGCTGGTGTGAGCCTCTGCTGAAGCACTGAGGAGTGAGCTTTTAAGTTTAATTGAGGTTAGTGAGGTTAAAAGCAATAGCTGCTCTTACACTGAAGTTGGTAACTGCATAGTGAAGGCAATGCAAAAAATAATAGTATATATAAATACAAATAAAATAATATAATATATATATATATTATATAATATATAATAGTATATAAAAATATAATATCAGTTGGGACATGGAGGGTTCTTTCAGGACTAGGACTGCACAATTAATCCACCTCCAGAATTTAATCAAGATCTAGAATCAGTCACGTCTAACAGTCAGTGATCAGCTTGACTCTTTTGAATGGAAATTGTTATGACTAAAGACCTGTATTGTTACTGATCAACAAACAGATAAAGTTCCAAAAAGTACTGAAAATCAGATAAAACATCGAAACTAGATATTCATTTGAGCAAGTATCGATACACAGACAGAACAGTTTTTGTGTCATTTTGAGCTTTATCAGAACCTAGCAGTGTAAGACCTCGTAGTAACATAAAGAAAGTGGGTTTTTTTTTGTATATGAAAATTACATGAAATTATTAAAGCATGAGCAGACTTATTCAAGACTCCCACCTGATGAGTTTTTAATTAAAGCTGCACTGATAAACTTTTGTAGGTGATGGTACTACATGGCAACTACATGGAGATCTTACCGCTTTGCCTAAAATTTTCCGCACACTGGCATTAAATGTATAAACTATATTCACAGAGACGAGTAGATGACACCAAATTACAAGCCAGATCTGTAAGAATGCATGTTTTTAAGGCAATTTAGAGTAATAAAAACAATAACATCTCAGTGAAGACAAGCAGGTGACACCAGAAAAAAGTTTCAAGTGCAGCTTTACCTGAAATGAAACCAAGATGCAACTCTAGGTATATTTAGACAAGGAGAAAACATTATATCAGTGTATTTAACAAAATATAGGTCCTTTAAATGTGTTGTTTTCTTGTAAATGCAGATCTGCACACATTCCTCAGAAGGTTTGCAGTGGAGTTTATCATGTAGCGTATGTATGTAACACCTACCTGTGCTCTGGCTTAAGCGCTCAGCCTAGTCCTCCTCTGTCTCTCGTCTGTTTTCCCACTCTTCTTTCCCGTAGCCCATATATTAACCGTCAATACAACTCACTTTCCCTTTGCGGTTTTCCCCCTCAAACCTGCAGGGTCACTCGGAGAGCCAATCAGATGCCCCCCGCTTGTGTCTGCCAATCGGAGCCCCGAGATTAGGACGAGATCCCCGGGGGAGGTGGGGAGGAGGGCAGGCCCGGACACGCTCCACTGTCAGCGGTGAGCGAAAACAGCAGGAGGCAGATGTCAACATGTCAAGTCTGTGTGAGGTATGTGGATCAGGTATGTACAGATGCTGCAGGGGCAAAAGAAGGCAGAGGAGGGCATCTAGTGGTGGTGTGCAAGTATGGCATAGATGAGACGAGGTGTGCTTTCAAATATAGGAGGCTATATTTAAAATTTTTACATTATGATTGATTCATTTCATTTCAACAAAATAAAATATAACTGTGGGATTAACACAGGCTAATAAATAAAAAAAGACTTTCTGAACCAGGCAAGGCAAGTTTATTTGTGCAGCACAATTCATACAAAATGTAATTCAAAGTGCTTTGTAAAATAAGACAGACATTCAAACACACAACACAAGCAAATCAAAACATTAATAATGATCATAAAATGAACATTTAAAGAGAAGAGTGAAGAATAAAAACTTTTCAGTCATATGCAGCTAAATAGATGAGTTTTGAGCTGAGAATTGTGAAGGCTAATACTTAAAATACCAGGTCCAGTGAGTGCTATGCAAGACTAAACTAGGTCTTAATTGGTACTGAATCAGAACTACACCAGGTATCAGCTGGAATCTGAAATCAAAACCAAGATTATCACAGGACACTGGTCTCATTTCAAATGGACATAGGACTTTTGGACTACACAGTTGATGCTGGACCCGATGTTGGTTTGGAGGGATATTTTAATCCTGCTGCATAAACATGCCTGGGGTTTGTTACAAACTGTGTACGTACAGCTAGTGCCCTCTGCTGTTCTTTTGTACAAGAGCAGCTAGTAGTTTAGACCTGTAATGGTTTAGACATGTCACTATAATATGCCATTGCCTGAAAACTAGAAGCTGAGCTGTAATGGTTCCGTGTTGATAACAGTTTGTCATTTAAGAGGTCTTTGTTGGTGCTTTACTAAGATTCTTTTAGAACTACAGTTCAGCTTTCTATAGGTTTGTTTTTGAGTTTTAGGCCATTTAAAAGTAGAGTAGAAGTCGATGTTGTACCTCAGATTCAGCTGTTACTTCATAACTGGCACAGAGGTCTGGCATCAACCAAATATTTAAATATTCTCTCTTGACATATCAGCAATATAAAACAATAGCAGTACAGTGGAAGAAGGTAAAAAATGAGGCCTTCAATACAAATTCTTGACATATATGAACATCTCGTCATTCTCTGGTGGACAGGTCACAGTGCCTCGCTCACTGGAGCAGAGCCTGTGCTTTATCTGGTACAAAGTCTTGTACTTTGTCCAGTATGTAAAACAGAGTCACGGTTAATTCTCCAACGGATTATCTCACAACACAATCTCTATAAACAAATTATATGGCTCAAATTACACTTTATATCATGAGAGGAACATGGCTGTACAGGTTTAATTCCTCTGTACTATGACGCAAAAAAATGTACCTTGCTTTTTTTGGAATTAGTCAGGTAAAATCAGTCTAAGATGCTAATTGAACCTTTTTTTTTTGCACTAAAGCAAAAAGTTCAAATAAAACCAAATTTTTGATTGATATGGCAAAGTTTATGTGACATAAACAAGCAGTTGAAAAACACGCTTTGTGCAGATTGATTAAATTTTTAGTGCATGCATTAGGAATCAGTGAAATATCACTTCCAATATCAGTATTTGTGATGCTGGAGGTGCGATTGTCTTTTTGAAAAAACTAATGAGTAAACTTGGTAAGAGAAGAGGAGTTAGGCTGAAAATATTGCTCTATGTTTACACATTTGTTCATTCCTTCATAATCTGATATCCCGAATATATCCATTTTGTTAATATTTTCAAAACACAACTCCAGATCTGTTTGTGGTGAGGAAACAACATTATAACATAGATCAGAAAAAAGCGTAAGATTAGTCCTTTAACAGAAAAGTGTGTGAAATGTGTTACTGTCATAACTGTGTGTCTCTCTCACTTCTTTGTTAGTTCTGTCCCCAGCAGTAACAGCAGCAGCAGAGCCTGGGTGCGACGCACAAAGAGGAAGTGGCGGGGTTACATTAAAAAGTCTTCGACACAGTGCAGAGCTGCAGACACCCACCACCACGGAAGAGAGAGAGACACGTATAGAGAGACAGAGAGAGAGAGAGAGACAGAGAGAGAGAGATACAGAGAGAGAGAGATACAGAGAGAGAGAGAGCGGTAAATCCACCATGAGAAGCAGAGGAAGAGTGAGCGCGCCTAACTACTATTGAACGTAAGTCGAACAATGTTTAACTTGAAATTTGATTAAACTAGACAATGGTACAATGTATGTACGATCACGAGGAAGGAGCATGGTAGTGGAACAACGTCTGTGCGGTTTGGCTTCAAATTATGTTCACGCTCGTCTCGGTTCGGTCCTGGTTTTGGCCCGAGTTAAGTCCTGTCGTAGACCGGGTGGATTACTCTTCTAGTTTCTAGTCTTCTAGTTTAGTTCTCTTTTGGTTCCGGTTTAGTTGTGGGGTTAGTACCAATGTAGTTTTGTTTTACTCCCGGTTTGGTTCTGGGTTTAGTCCTGGTTTAATTGTGGGTTTAGTACCAGTCTAATCCTCTTTTAATCCTGGTTTAATTGTTGGTTTATTACCAGTCGAGTTCTGTTTTAGTCCTGGTTTGGTTCTAGGTTTAGTCTTGGTTTAGTTGTTGGTTTAGTACCAGTCTAGTTCTGTTTTAGTCCTGGTTTGGTTCTGGGTTTAGTCCTGGTTTAGTTGTTGGTTTAGTACCAGTCAAGTTCTGTTTTAGTCCTGGTTTGGTTCTGGGTTTAGTCCTGGTTTAGTTGTTGGTTTAGTACCAGTCTAGTTCTGTTTTAGTCCTGGTTTGGTTCTGGGTTTAGTCCTGGTTTAGTTGTTGGTTTAGTGCCAGTCTAATTCTGTTTTAGTCCTGGTTTGGTTCTGGGTTTAGTCCTGGTTTAGTTGTTGGTTTAGTACCAGTCTAGTTCTGTTTTAGTCCTGGTTTGTTTCTGGGTTTAGTCCTGGTTTATTTGTTGGTTTAGTGCCAGTCTAATTCTGTTTTAGTCCTGGTTTGGGTCTGGGTTTAGTCCTGGTTTAGTTGTTGGTTTAGTACCAGTCTAGTTCTGTTTTAGTCCTGGTTTGTTTCTGGGTTTAGTCCTGGTTTATTTGTTGGTTTAGTACCAGTCTAATTCTGTTTTAGTCCTGGTTTGGTTCTGGGTTTAGTCCTGGTTTAGTTGTAGGTTTAGTACCAGTCTAGTTCTGGGTTTAGTCCTGGTTTAGTTGTGGTTTTAGTCCCAGTTTAGTTTAGATGTGGTGTATTTGTAAGAGTGATCACAGCCTGTAAAAGGATAGTCAGTAAATCAGATAATAATTAATGCTTAAACTAATATTGAAACTAAATAAGCAAGTATCGAGCTTTCCTAAACAGTTTCAGTGTCACTTTTAGCTTTATCAGAGCTAGTGTAAGACCTCATGCTAAGATAATGAAATGATTTTGTGTATGAAATGTATGTTCTATTACTAAAAAAAAGGAACAAGTAGTGTACACAATATTAGTGTGGAGTATGCAGTTTTGGTACTATAGCAGTACGACAGACATAGTCCATACTCTGCTATGTCCAAATTGCATATAAAAGTGTTTAGATAAGGTAAAATAAACACAAATGTCCAAGTCTTATCATCTTGTCATGACAGAGCTTCCTATTACTATTGGACTTACTCATAGTGGACGAGTCACCATTCATCCATTCTTTCTCTAGCACTTTACTCAAGATGGGGTGTTATGCAAAATTAGCTTTTTGGAGTTTTCCACCATGTTATAACATTATTGCCTCATCAAAAACATGCCCGAGGAAGGTTTAGATGTCATCCATGCATGTTTAAGTCATTTAGCGATCTCTCCTGGGCTTTATTCAAAAAAAAGCTCAGCCCGCAAGCTTCATCAGTGTTTCAGAAATATACAAAAGCATGATACAAAAACAACAACAACAAAAAAACGTTCATACGGAAATAAATTATACAGTGCAATTACATCTGCAATAAAAACAATTCACACTGTTCACTCTAACTGACACAACGCACACACAAACACAATACAAGTACACATCTAAATAATGAGAGTTAATTATACCGAATCATAAAGTAGCTTCATCTTATTAGATACATATTAACCTACCATTTCTACTTTTGTATGATCATGATTACCACATGACTATGGTAACTGTAACTCTGAAAAAACATTTGTCAGTTGTTTTTATTCTGAATTTCGTTTGACAAAATTTTAAGTCTACATTTTCAAAGTATAGGCAGAAGCAATCAATCCTACGTGAGCGGATCTAACTTAGAAACAACCAGGAGACGTTGTAGGGAACCAGTCCCGTTGGTCAGAATTGGCATCTTGCTTGTTTGCTGCAAAATCTTTCACTGCACATTTTACACTCATCTACATTTTGACTGTTTAATTTGAGGGCTTCAGAATATATGTGCTAAATATTTCAAAACACCTTGAAAATGTGATTTATAATTTAACATGTTTTTTTAGAGAAAATTAAAAGTTAGAAATTTCGCGTCATTAAAATTCAAGATCTGATGAAACAAGTGATCTAATTATACACACCACAGCTCTCCTGAATTGACTTTACTCTGCACAACGCATATGGGTTTAAGATCACTGCCCAAGATACCGCAGCCTTTGCTAGCAATGTTACCTTTGTCTGTCATTTCCCTATTAAGACAGACTGCACGTGAACAACTTGTGCATGGTATAACTTTTTTATCCACTCTGAATAAATCAACATTGCAGATTTTTATTTGAATATATGGGAACTCGTGAAATATATTTAAAACATTACTGTTAATGTGTCTAAACCCTTAGATTAAAAGGCCCATATTATCCTATTTTTGAT